ATATATATTTTATTATAAGATATTTTATTAACTTTCTTTTTAATATTTGAGTAAATTGAGACATCACAAAAGCAAAGTGTAATAATTTAATTACTGTTCACCCCAAAAGTGTAATAACATCTTTGGTGGTGATGATGTACCTATAGCAGAATTGGCAAGTTCATGTACATATGTATATGAACCAGTACCCGGGGGTCGCGACGTGGACGCTTCTGCTTTGACCCCCGCAAAAACAAATGAATATGTTTTAAATATAGTTCGTTGTTTAAAACAAAATCATTCAATTGTGAAATCGCCTTTAATACAATTGCAACGTCTTCAATTTTAATAACCATAATCTATTGTCTCAGACAAGTGATGACATCATAATAACCGTGCCATTTATGTTAAAATTAAATTGTAAAGAAATGAACTGAATCGGGCGCCTTAAGTGAACGCAATTAAAGTGTGCAATTTATTGCTTTCGATTAACTAATAGGTGTGTCTTAATAATTTGTTCTGTAAAAATACCTCATCCTAAATGGGATTGGTCTTCAACCTTCTTTAAAGTTTTATAAGGAACTTATTAGTAAAATAAAATCTAATTACTATTAAAACAAATGGACTAAATCATGACATTAACGTCTTATTTGAAAACAAGCGATATTAAGTGTGTTAATTGGTTTTCAGATACAAACAATGTTACAATTCCTTTAGTTTCAGATAATGTTACAATTCGCCTTCTTTAGCAGTTAATTAACAAGGAGAATACCTGCATTCTCTTCGTATTTTCTTGCCTGAAAGATTTTCAGCTTTCGTTCTTGTAGGAAATTTGGTACCAGTCACCTTTATTGCCACAAATATAATCAATCACTCCTATACATTTCACTGTTCGCTTTCCCTATTTTGTCAAAGGTATTTCACCCTGTTACACAATGTTTGTAAGCCTATAGATTTCTTTAAGCTCCAATTTCCTTTGGAAACTTCAGGATCGTAGCTAAACTGTGCAAAGTCTTGATAAAAACCAGGACTTACTAAAAGTTAAATTTTTTCACATCTATAAAGAGTACTACTAAAAAGGATTAAATTTGATTGCTGATGGTTGTTGTAGAGGATTAATCTTCTAAACTATCGCCTTAATGCTGAAAATAAGATGTTTGTGCAGACATATAAACGTTGTCATCGATTACTATTAAAAAATTTAGTGAAAATTTTGGTGGAGGCGCCGGGACAATTTAAAATAAAGGCTATAATTGGGCTATAATCCCAGTTTCATTGAAGAAGATTGGTAAATATTCATCTTTTAATTGTATTCTTCCATGTAAACGCAGTAAGGGACGCTAATTTATACTTTTCTTTTTAAAATAAATTAAACTGCAATTTGTAAATATATAGACAACCCAACATACAGGAAATATTACAATTGTAACAAGCTAATTAAAGAGAAAGTTAAAAAACTTTTTTTCTTAAGAAAATTTCCTTTTTTACGTGAAACACAATACCATCTTCGAACAAACGACAAAATATTACAGTAATAATTGTAAAATTTGGTTGAAAACCCTTAAAAAAAACAACAAGGAATATATTAGATTTCGATATGATTTTTGATATAAAAGTGTGAAAAAATCTCCTTTTGTATATTGATTGTATTTTCGATTTAATTATTAGAGGGAATGCATATCAGTTCATATTGGACAAGCTGGCGTCCAAATTGGAAACGCCTGTTGGGAATTGTATTGTTTAGAACATGGAATTCAACCTGATGGTCAAATGCCATCGGACAAGACCATTGGTGGCGGAGACGATTCGTTCAACACGTTCTTTAGCGAAACTGGATCGGGGAAACATGTTCCCAGGGCTGTTTTCGTGGACCTAGAGCCCACCGTTGTCGACGAAGTCAGAACTGGAACTTATCGTCAACTGTTTCATCCTGAACAACTGATAACTGGCAAAGAAGATGCAGCTAATAATTACGCTCGTGGACACTACACAATTGGGAAAGAAATAGTGGACGTTGTTTTGGACAGATTAAGAAAATTGGCAGATCAATGTACTGGTTTGCAGGCGAGTTTCTTTAGAGACCATTTAGAAAAATCCGAAGTCGAATTTGATTGTTTATTTTAAGATTTTGTTGGTCTTTTATTGCAGGGATTTCTGGTCTTCCATTCTTTCGGAGGAGGCACGGGGTCTGGTTTTACCAGTCTGCTAATGGAGCGTCTGAGTGTGGATTATGGAAAGAGATCAAAACTGGAGTTCTCTATATATCCAGCTCCACAGGTAAAACTCCCAAAAATGCTTTAACTTCATATATACAATATAATTGTGGTTTTTCTACATTGTAATCTTTTTCTGGATGGTTTCTTCCCTTTCAAATTCTCAACATTCTTTATACCTTTAGCAGCTAGTGATAACTCAATTATTCGATCCATATATTATACCTACCCCAGAAAAAGTTTACTAGGTACTGATAATTTCCACTTGAGAGTGTCTTTCAAAAGTTGTTTTTGACTATAGGTTTCTACTGCCGTCGTGGAACCTTACAACTCAATCTTAACAACTCATACAACCCTGGAACATTCGGATTGCGCTTTTATGGTCGACAATGAGGCAATTTACGACATATGTCGTAGAAATTTAGACATAGAGCGTCCCACGTATACTAACTTGAATCGCCTAATAGGCCAAGTAAGATATTTTATCCAAAGTCAAAAACCCTCTAGTAATTTATTTGTTTAATATAAAATCTCCACTTTAGATCGTCTCATCCATAACAGCGTCTTTGAGATTTGATGGGGCTCTAAATGTGGATTTAACAGAATTTCAAACGAATTTGGTGCCATACCCTCGAATCCATTTTCCTCTAGCCACATATGCCCCCGTGATATCAGCTGAGAAAGCTTACCATGAACAATTAACTGTTGCCGAAATAACAAATGCTTGCTTCGAACCAGCAAACCAAATGGTCAAATGTGATCCACGTCATGGGAAGTACATGGCTTGCTGCATGTTATACAGGTAAAATAACTTGGGAAACTTTTTATACGATGGGCACTATTTTGGGCTGAAACTGGGCCTCTATTTTGATTCAAACTTAAGCTCAATTTTAGCGGAAGTTCAGCATTTTAAAGATCGAAGTTGAATGATACTTATAATGATAAAGACTTTAGCTACAACTTTTGTTCAAATGTACCAAAATTACAATAATTTTAGGGGTGATGTAGTACCAAAAGATGTAAATGCAGCAATAGCTACAATCAAAACCAAACGTTCCATTCAGTTCGTGGATTGGTGTCCAACTGGGTTTAAAGTTGGTATAAATTATCAGCCGCCTACGGTTGTTCCAGGGGGTGATTTGGCTAAAGTTCAAAGGGCTGTATGCATGTTATCCAATACTACTGCAATTGCTGAGGCATGGGCAAGGTAAGAAAATAGTTTTTATGATTTTCTATTGTATAAAATGGTACTGGGAATTGTATGAGGTGGGCTAATCCTTTGAATTAAATGCTAACGTAGATTTTGTTATACACCCTTTTTGTCCTAGTATGTAATGTAATTTTAGGCTTGATCACAAATTTGATCTAATGTATGCAAAAAGAGCTTTTGTCCATTGGTATGTGGGTGAAGGAATGGAAGAAGGGGAATTCTCTGAAGCTAGAGAGGATTTGGCAGCCTTAGAAAAGGACTATGAAGAGGTTGCAGTTGACTCAGTTGAGGGTGAAGAAGATGGGGATGAATATTAGACCACGCAAAGTTGTTGGCGTTGTAGTTGACTTTTTGATTGCATATTTTATTTTAATAACTATCATTTAACGTTCCCAGATAATGTTTATAACATATGTAACGCTTTTATTTTACATTTTAAATAATTGTAATTTTATGACGATAAATAAACAACATTTGCACATTATAATGTTGCATTTATTCTTATTGCCATATTGGCAAGTGTTTTAAGGGGTGCAACTCCTACTAAATAAAAAAACTCAATAGTAGGAAATGAAAATTTATATTCCATTGAAAATATAAAAGCATTTTTATTTTTACAAAAATATACAGCAGTTATTCACATAAGATTCCACTTAATGAAAACAAAATTGTGTAAAATCTTAGAAGTAAGTCAAAAAAGGAAGGAACTACATTAATAAAAATTATTAATAAGAAATTCAATATGCAGAGGCCCCGTCATTTTTTAAATAAATATATTACATATTCAATACATTCCCTTATACTTATTAAACAGTTATATCAGATAGTTATGACTGAAAACGTCTACTTAATGATAAAGGGGAAGATCATCTAGTCCAACTTCTTATTGGTAAGTTCAATAGCACTTTTTCGTGGAAACCACCCCTTTAACTTTGGTATAATTGGACTTTGTTTTTCTCCATAGAGCCAATATCTGAAAAATTGAAATAGTGTAATAAGTTTTTTCAAATTAATGACTATATAAATTAATTCAACTCAAATTAACATTTGATATATTTACAGAAGAGCATCTTTCTTTATCTGAAATGAGTACAAAGAGACTTACTTTCGCCACCTAGTGACCAAAACTTCATCACCAATTTCCAGTTTCAGTCTTGGCTCATCAGTACAAACAGGATGGAAAAAAGTCCCAAAACCATAAGAAATGGGAAACCAAGACCCTGATACTGGTCTTACAATGCTATAGATTCGACTTCTTTCTTTTTTTTCATTTTTTTGTTCCAATTGTTCTTTCTTTAAAAGAAATAATCAAGAAATATGAGAAAACAATAATGATCATTTCATACTGTTAGTGTGTATTGGTCACAACCCTCCCTCACAGGCCAATGAATGCCATCACCAAGAGGTTGTAAACTCCAATTTAGGACCTGTCTTATATTCTCCTTTCTCCCCAAATCGTATGGGAAAATAAACACTTCGTGACTGTCGCTCCTTCGGTGAATTGCCTTTTGTAAAATCCAATCTTCTATGCCTGTGCGATTCCTTATAACAGCAAGCATCTGTTGGATGAAATTAAATACAAAATGAGAAAGAAAACATACATTTCAACTGAGTAGATTGTTCTGTGTCCTTTTTGATACTCACTTGAAATACAAATACCATTCCAACAGCAACAACAACCCCTACAGCCAATCCCAGAGCAAAAACTGTTAAGATAACACCATGTAGACTTAAATGTATCATAGGAACGTTTTTAATTCTATAATAAATATACCAGGGCCTGTATAAAGCATGATAAAGTGAAAATGATAGTACTACTGAACTCTGCATACTGGCTAAGACAGCAAACAGAAGAAATGCAATAAAATATGGCTGGTTTGCCCAACCTACACAGTTATTGATCCAAGGACAGTGGTGATCCATTTTGAGGACACATCGATTACCTTAAATTGCAAATATTAAAATCATTAAATGCATTCTTATGGTGTCAGCTTACACTTTTTGCAGTGGTGAGCCCTGGGTGCTTTGTAGCCTTCACAAACTTCACAGTATTGGAGATATAAGATATCATTTTCATTTTCCTTAATAAAAAAGGCAGAAAATTAGGTCAAGAAGCACTTTCAGCATAAATCTAAGCATACCGGTTTCCAATGTAACTGTAGATAGCCTGGGCCAATAAATACTGATGATAAAAAGTTGTATAATGTTAATCCAAATCCGCAAAAGAAACATGCACTATTAATGAAGCCCCCAACAGTCGATTTAGGCCACCAGAGTTCACTGCAATAAATTGTCGTACCAGCAACTACTTTTATTATACCTTAAAACCAATATAAGAATTATAATCTTGAAATAAACCTTAATTGATTTTAAACATACATTCTGTAACTTGCAGCACATACAAAGCAATAAACGTAAAAAGGATACTTTTGAAATAGGTTTCAATTAAGGTTAGAATTAGAAGACAAGTTGAAATCTAGTACCTAGAGCAGTCAGTGGGCCCCAATGGAAAATTCTATTGAATGGATGGAAACACATACTAATAAATAAATAGAAAAACAGTGTTAAAGCTAATTTATAAAAAACCTTATCATGTATACAGGGTAGATAACCATAATAGCATAACCTCACTTAACCTAATAGGTAGTTTGTTTTCACTTTGTAATTACTAAAAAAATTAATTATAAAAGAAGGTAAAAAATGAATGCGAAGACAATATTGTGATAATCTACTTTCTTGATATTTACTAAAGACTCATAATCCCTAATAATAATTTTAGAGTGCAACTTGTTGCGCGATACATGAAATTTTGTGGGGGTAACACTAAAGTGGTGATGGAAATGGTTTATTATTTTTATCGAAGATAACCGCAGATTGTGGTTTTTTGTTTTAAAAATTACCTGATTTATTGTAACAGTAATATATGCATATTAACAATATGTTTTCTGCATGATTAGCACAAAATATGCCATAAAGTAAGTCTGTAGAGGTAGTGTTTTATTGTTTTGTAATTGTATTCTTTTTTCAGATGGAGTATGACTATCTTATGAAATTTTTAGCTTTAGGTGATTCTGGAGTAGGTAAAACTAGCTTCTTATACCAATATACTGATGGGAAATTTATTTCTAAATTCATAACTACTGTAGGCATCGATTTCAGGGAGAAACGCCTTGTAAATGTGGTTTTACTTGCTCAGTGTACTATTTTGCTAAATAACATCTTGCAGGTTTATCAGTTTAGAGGTAAAAATCATAGAATTCATCTTCAGTTGTGGGACACTGCTGGTCAAGAAAGGTATAAAAGATGTCTTTGTATATTTGCATTTATTAACTAGATTCCCCTCTTGCTTCCTTTTAATGTAACTAATTTTCACTAATGTAGATGCTTTATCAAAGTATGTATTATTTCTGTAGATTCCGTAGCTTAACAACTGCATTTTATCGTGATGCCATGGGATTTTTACTAATATTTGATCTAACTAACGAAAAATCATTTCTTGAAATAAGAAATTGGATTGAACAATTGAGGGTATGGCTTATCCTACACACTTACCATTGGATTTAGTTCTTTGCTTTTAGATAAGATAGAAATATCATAATTAATAAAATTTGATGTAAAAGTTTAACAAACTTATCTGTTTTAGATACATGCCTACTGTGAAACACCAGACATAGTAATTTGTGGAAATAAGGCCGATTTGGAAGACCGTCGTATTGTTCCTGAATGGAAAGCCAGGGAATTTGCAGAAAAATATGGGTAAGATTCCTTTTTTGCAGAATGACCAGCAGCAAACATCTGCTTTGTCAGGATTCAGATTTTGAAGTGAAAACTTATTTTTTCCAAAATGTAACATAGTCTATATTAGCCACAGATACTGCAGCTTTCTTTTACACAAAGAATTTTTGGAATTGATTCAGTAGTTCCAGGGATTACCCTCTACATACAGACAAATTTGATTTGTCTATGCAGATCTAGATAAATGAGGACCAAATAATTTCAAAGTTCACTTAAGAATTTTGATTTAGTTTTTATCTGTATTCACTGAAGCTTTTAAGCTACACAAACATTTGTAGTTTCCCCTATATACCTCAAATTTGCCCAAAATAATAAATTATTTCATTATTAGCTTGATTGATCGTTATTTGCATAATAGGGATAGGGTAAGGAGCCCAAATTGAACTACTTCATACATGATGATATCAAAAATAGTCATTCTTTGATATCCTTCCTTTCATTTCAAAACATGCAAAGATAAAAATCTAAGAAAAATCATTAATATCGATCATTATACAAATAATCTAGGGAAATATTCTAATTGTTTTTAAATTCGTTCTAGAACTGAATTGTTAACGTCTACAAGGACGAAAACTCGATAGAAATCGTTTTAAGAAGTTTCTTCTTTGAAACTCATATTTTTTTGTAAATGTTTTGAAAGCAATACCTAACTATTACTCGATGTATTCTGTTACAGTTACCCTTACTTGGAAACAAGTGCTGCAATGGGTCAGAATATAAACAGGGCTATAGAAACGTTGTTAGAAAAGGTTCTCCTTCGTATGGAAACTGCAGTTGATCGAGCTATGATGCCAGGAAGGAGGGGACGACCTAGGGATTTCGAGGAGCCAGACTTGAACAACCCCCAGCCTTCGACTTGTTCATGTTAAAAAAAAAACTTAATGTATCTATGTATACATGAATCTTAATTTTTTATAAAATTGATCTGAGATTGATAATGACATGCCTTATCATTCATAATCACAATGTACGTAATTTATTGTTCGACGCTCATTAAAATGTTATACAATATATAAATATAAAATAAATATACATAATAGTGTTTATTGACAGTATTTTATCGTCTGCCATCATGTTGTTCACTTATATTTATAATATTATAATAAATTATGCTTTATAAGATCCTTTTGTTTTATTTTCTAATTTAATTATAAATAACTAATTAATAACTTTAGAAAAAAACTCAAAATTGTCCAATTAAAATGAAATATAGCTAAGAATTTTAAAAACTAAAAATGAATAAGAAAAAATTTCGTCTGACTATTACATGGTGGATAATTTACTTAAATAATGGTTATTATTCTTTTTTTACACCCTTAGAGAGATGTTCATTTTTATTGAACAGTGCTGTATATAAAAAATCACTATACACAGGTATATTCAAAAAATGCTTACATTAATTTTTGGTTTAGAAATTCTCAACCATTTGTGCCTTTTATGTTTTAATAATGTTATTAACACAATTAGTGTGTTACTAATAAAGTAATTTATTAAATTAATTTATTTCTTATCGTCAAGAAAGATTACAAAAAAAGAAAATAGAAAAATTGTAAATGATATTTTTTTTTATGATTTATATAAATGGTTATTGGAAGTCTCAAACAAGTAGAAAATACTTTTAGAGAAATTATTGTCTATTCGTGTCAGTGACTTTTGATAAACGTTAGCAGGTACTTCCTTAAAAGTAATTATCACTCCAAATAAGAATTTTAAATTAATAAGAGGTCACAATAAACTATTTTAAAGTTCAAGGGCAAAAATTGTTTTCGTCAAAAGTTACTGACAAATTCAAACATTAAAATTTATGATAATGAAAACACTATTGTCATAGAAAATCTATAAATTTTCGAAGTTTAAATAGAATTTCCATTATGAGCGTAATTTCTTCAGTCAGTGTTGCGGTATCAACTTGAATTATATTAAAATGAAGAACGGTGAAGAAGTTGTTATTTCTGGAATCGGGGGTTACTTTCCTAAATCCATTAATGTGGAACATTTTCAAAAGTTGCTTTTGGAAAATGCCGATTTTTTGGATTCCCGATGGAAAGAAGGTACATTTTCATTTTAGGCAATTTGTTGCATAAGAATTAATTAAAAGGGTCGTCTTAGTCCATTTATTTCATGAATAGGTTTGAGACTTTTCATTTGCAGAAAACGGAAATGGAGAAATTATACTTCTGTACTTTACCAGCAGTCACTGGCACTTCTACTCCTTCAAACTGTATATTTTTTTGCCTCATTCATACTTGTAGAATTAGGTGCATTTCGTCATCATCCCTGGGTAGTCATCCCCAAAACTGGTTGGGCACGCATTTCGACACCTAACTGTCCTGAGTTAATTCTCCAATTACTCTAAAAGTAAAACAGTAATCTAATCTAAATTTTTCTATGCCGTCCTCCTCTTTTGACTCCTGTTTCAGAAGTATCCTAGCATCTTAGGTATTCTTTTACTAATTAACTTCTACAGTGCCCCTTTTAAATGTCTCCTTATTTTCCACATATTGTGTCCATGGTATTTTCATCATTTATCTATAATACCACGAAAAGCTTAAAGTGTAATGAACAAAAAAATATTTGTTTCTAGGCGAAAGAGGTGTAACAAACGTAATTGGAAGAGTTCCTGGAATTCAGTTCTTCGATACCGCTTATTTTGGGATTCACAGACAACAATGCATCCATATGGACCCTATGCAACGCATTATGCTAGAAAGAACTTTTGAAGCACTCGTAGATGCAGGTAGATGATAAAATAAAGTCACTATATTTCGGAAAACCATCTTTGATAAACCCATTCAGTTATACCAAGTTCTTTATCAATTTAAATTGATATTTCTCAAATGGTTATTTCCTCGTTTCTCATAGGGGTAAACCCGGTGGAAATAAGAGGAAAAAAGGTAGGTGTCTTTGTTGGGTCATCTGTAGGAGAGAATGATAATATCTTTTACGAATCCGTTGTAAGTGGATTTGGTGTTACTGGCCACTCACGATCTATGATGCCGAACAGGATTTCGTACTGGTTAAATTTGAAAGGTACATCTTCCTTTAATACTTACATTAAGATGTATGAGAAGTAACCGAAATCAGGATATCTCATAAAAGACTTCGATCTATTAATGATAAAATTTAAATTTTGCGTTTGCAATGATTAGGTCCTAGCTGCGATTACGATAGCAACTGGTTGAATGGTCTGGAAGTCATAAGAATGGCTTATGAATCGATTAGAGAAGGACATTGTGATTCTGCTATTATTGGTACGGCCAATTTGGTCGTAAATTCAGAAATAAGTTGGACATACAACGATGCCAAGCTGCTTTCTCCAGATGGCATTACACGATCCTTCGACGCCGACGGTAATATCAGCGATAACAAACCATTTTACCAATAATACACTTAAGAAATTATATAAAATTAATGTCTTAATTGTTAAATTAAGTATAAAAGATGAAGCGCCTCAACTATCAATAGTTTCTAATTCCCCACTACTACTAACTAACGATTTATAGCTAATGGATATGGGCGAAGTGATGGTATTGTGGTATTGTATCTACAAAGAGCAACGAAAGCTAAACGTATTTATGGTACCATTACTAATGCTAAGACTTGCTTCAATGGAAACCGTGAGGGTCCACTGGTAGCTATTGATCAGCCCAGCATGGTCAAGTTTATGAAAGATTTCTATGCTGAAACTGGCGTTGACCCAACAGAAGTACATTATGTCGAAGCGTATGGTTGCGGCATCAAGGTAAATTGATGTTCGATGAATACTAATGGGAAATGTATCGATTGAACTGAATTAAATTATTCATTCATGCAAAATTTTAGAATTCACTTCAAAATAATGTCGCAAATATGAAACTTATTTGGATATCATTATGTATCTTTGCTTTTGCTTTCTTCCGCGTTCACGAGAACAAACTTTAATCGATTTTATTTATCAAACATTTACCTCCGAAGCAAGCAGATGTGAAAATTCGCGTACGTAGTTAAACAACGAGAAATCGAAGATATTCTAAGAATGTAGGGACATGAATTAGAAAATTAATTACTTAATCTCCTCGACAAATATTCCTGGGGCAAATACCAAGTTATCAACCCAGACATTTTCGTCTCACTTCAAATGCCTCAATCTTCACATTTCTACTTCTTAAATATAAGAGACATAAAGCACTGTTTTAATCCTTTAAGCACGTGGATGAAACCGAATTAAACGCAATAGAAGAAGTTTATTGCAAAAAGCGTTCTGGTCCTCTCCTCATTGGATCTATCAAATCCAATATTGGACATGCTGAAGCATCAGCGTCTCTTGTAGCAGTAGTAAAAGTTTTAATATCAATGAATTTCGGGACGATTCCTGCTAATAAGCACTACAAAAATCCCAATCCTAAAATAAAAGGTCTTCTTAATGGCACCCTAAAAGTTGTCGATCAAAATACTCCATGGAGCGGTGACTACGCAGCTGTTAACGCTATCGGACTGGCCTCCTCGTATGGTCATTTGTTGATAAAAGCAAACAAAAAGACTAAGAAAGAAGGTCCTGCAGACGATCTTACCCGTTTATTCATAGCTTCTACCAGAACTGAGGATGGAATACAGAAAATCTTAAGCACAGTAAGCATACACAAAATAGAAATTGGATCGGTGATTTTTAAGACTAAATTACATTTGCTTTTCTCATATTACCTTTTTGTCAACAGGTACAACAGCATAAAAATGACGCCGAATATGCGAACTTAATACAGGAAATTTTTGCAACCCCAATTCCAGGCCATTTGTATCGGGGTTACGTTCTAGCAGGGAACGAGGTCAAACAAGAATTTGAAGTTAGATAAAGATTGCGAGTTGTTAAGACCATAATTAAATTAACCGTTTTGTAGCATTACCCCGGCAAAAAGCGTCCTGTTTGGTTTGTTTATTCAGGAATGGGTTCTCAGTGGCCAACCATGGCCTCTGATCTCATGCGGATTCCCGTATTTGCCGAATCCATTATGAGAAGTCACGCCATCCTTCAGAAAAAGAACGTTGATCTCCTTAATATCATCACAACTAACGACCCCAAAATATTCGATAACATTCTTCATTCTTTCATAGGAATCGCGGCTGTACAGGTAAATATTTAAATTAAAGTTATGCTGGACTTTCATAAAAAAAAGGAATTGGTATCATTCGTTCTAATTCCAAATACACTCGAAGAAGCCTGCGTTCTATTGCCTTTAATGTTCCATGTTTGCAGATTGCTTTAACAGATGTACTGCGCACTGTGGGGGTGGTTCCAGATGGTATAATTGGGCATTCGGTGGGTGAATTGGGATGCGCCTATGCTGATGGGTGTTTGACAGCAGAACAGATGATCCTCGCTGCCTATGCAAGAGGAAGAGCGTCCCTAGAAGCCGAACTTATTCCAGGGATGATGGCTGCAGTGGGTTAGTATTAATTGGGGAATGGTCGAACATTCGACAATCTATGATGATAAATGCCTATTCACCGAATCAAGATGAAGCTCTAAATGTGACATGGTTTCACGATCGAAACGGAAAATAAACTTTAGTTTTGTGTTCCAAGTCAATTTCTATTATAAAAAGTCTACTAATCAAAGTATTGATTACTTTATCATACCAATTAACTAATCAATGAAACTATCTTGATTAGAATTGTAATCATTAGGATCCCCTTGTATCTAAAATTAATGTTTATCAAACATTATTTGTTTTACCAAATCAGCTGAGTTAATTTCACTTGGAAGAAAAGTAGATAATGATTAACTTCGTTAATATTTCTATAGGAATTGGGTATCAAGAAATCAAGAGCCAGTGTCCACCAACAGTAGAGGTGGCATGTCACAATGGTCCTGAAAGTTGCACCATATCAGGACCAACAAAGGACATGGAAGATTTCGTGGCACAATTGAAAGAAAGGGGTGTCTTTGCCAGGCTGGTTAATGTTGCCAACATCGCTTATCACAGTAGATACATAAAACCTGCCGCTCCGTTTCTTTTGAAGTATCTCAAGGAGATCATTCCAATTGCATCCCCACGATCTTCAAAATGGATCAGTACATCTATACCTGAAGACAGATGGGATAGTGATTTAGCGAAAACCTCTTCAGCTGAGTATCATACTAACAACTTACTTAGTTCAGTTTTGTTTGAGGAAGGATCAAAACATTTTCCAAAAGACGCCATTGTCATAGAAATAGCTCCCCATGGACTTCTACAAGCCATTCTCAAACGGTCTCTGCCACCAGAATGTACAAATATCGCTTTGACTCAAAGGGGACACAGGAGCAACGTTGAATTCTTATTGTCAGGCCTTGGAAGGTACTGTTTACATAATCCCCCATTTGGATTATCTTTTTTTGATTATACAGCTATCAAAAATATAAACCAACTGTATACTGCGCTGTTTTTATTTTCCTTTTTCTATTTTCTCATACTATGTTTCATTAGTAAACTCCTTTGAAACAGTATATTCTTTTATTACTGAACAATAGCCTTTGAAAGGTCATTAGTGCTTCATTGTCAACCTTTATTTTAGAATGTTTATTAGTGGAATTGATAATATGAGAGTTTCTGCGTTATATCCAAAAATTGAGTATCCAATTGGACGAGGAACTCCTTCTCTAACGTCTATTGTTCATTGGGAACACAGCGAAGAATGGAGAACTGGAAACGAAGATAAACTGAATTACCTCGTCAGTGTGAAAGACATCCAAGTGTCCCTTAACACCGAAGAATTCAAGGACTACGCTGGACACAAGCTGGACAGTAGAGTCATCCTACCACCTTCATTGTACTTGGTAAATTTTTGAAAAGTTGGAAATAGTTCTCGTTCTGATCCAAAACACTTTTGTAGATGATCGTCTATAAAATGTTGATTGACGAATTCCACAAATGCGAAGATTTTGTGTTTCAAAATCTTCATTTTAAAAAAGTCCTTAGCATTCCAACAATCGGTAAGTACGAATTTCGTTATTGTTTCGTGTTGTAGTTGGAAAATTCCAGGGCACGTACCCTTGTCCGCTATGGTACAGAAGGGCAGTGGCGAATTTGAAGTCATAAGTGAAGATGAGATCATAGTATCCGGAGTCATCAAAACTCCAGAGACAGGAAGCAATGTTTTATTAGAACTACCATCGCTTGAAATTGGCGAGGAAGCTTATCAGCTAAGTTCTAAAGACTTTTATCAGGAATATTATCACAGGGGTTGCCAGTATTCTGGGGTGTACAAATCCATAAAGTCATTAACTATTACGAACGAAGGTTATTTGACTAATAGTCATAACGATACTGATACTGTTTTTCTTAATATTTGTTTCTTTTTAAGGTTCTGTTGCTGATGTTAAATGGTGTGATAATTGGGCGATATTTTTCGATTTAATGTTGCAACAGTTCTTCTTTCACGCCGGGGAACGTAAACAAGATATTATGGTTCCAAGCCATATCCAGCGTCTTGCAGTGTCCATTCCTCAGATGCCTAGTTCAGAAGGTACATTAATCATGTACTTATTTCCAGTACGTTTTAATTCCTTTAAAAATTCTAGATACAAAGGTCAATTTCAATGCATCAACTGGCTTAATTTATTCTGATGGCATTCAGATAAGTGGAGTCAGAAGTACACCCCTTCCAAGGGCACCAAAAGCTGTTTTGTATAACTGCATTGAGTTTGTACCATTTTTCAATAAAAAATACCAGGTAATAGCGTATACAATGTGTCCTGATGTAGTCTTGAGTTAGAAGTGAGAAGTAGTACATTTCTGTCTTTAAGTTGTTACTAATATTAGTAGCTGTACTTGAAATTTTGGTGGAGGCGCAAGGAAAATGTAAAAAATTATTCTTAGGTGACTAATTTTGATCCCATTTTCTTGCAGTCATGGGAAAATGTGATTAATTTCATAATTCAGACCATAACTTTAGTCCCAGGCTACGAGGACATCAGAAGCCTTTCGGTGGTAGAAGTTACGACTGAAGATGAAAATATTGTTGATAAAATAAAAAGCACGATGACCAAATACAGGGACATTAACGTAAATATTAAACTATAAGTAATTATAATAATGCAAATAGTTAATTGTTTGTTAAATAAATATTCCAGGCTACGTACTCAATAGTAGAAAATCCGAAGTCGATTGTAGCTTCGCAAAGCGATCCCCTATTTGTGGTGTCCGATAAAGAGTTTGACTCAGACATAGCCGATTATCTAGCCGATTCACATGCATTTGTACTGACACACTCAAATGATCAAATTGCTTCATATCCACACATAGTTGAAGTATCACGGTTTGAATTTAACAACAGAAACTATTCACTGATCAGAAAGGTAAGAAAAAGGAATTTTAATTGATCTTGTATCTCTATTTCCAATTCTCTTTATGTACTTATTGTTTGTCGACAATTACTATTCCACTTCTTTATGTGAACAATAAACAATTTTTGAGCGTTTGTAATGTAGTTGGAATTCAGGAAATTTGAACCCTCTTTTATCTCCAAGTTAAAGAAGTAGAGATAGTTCAATTTGGGGAAGTTGTCATTATGGGAAACGCTCATAATTTGTCTTTTTATGCATTCAACAGGCTGTTAACACCACAGCAGTAATGGTTAATGTTCACGGTGACACTTTAACATCCAAAGACTTAGCCAGGAATAATTTACAATGGGTCATGCAATTTAGAAACACTTTGGAAAATCTTCAGCCCAAGCAAAGGCTGTACCTGGTTTCAAATGTTAGTCCATACGAGGGTATTAACAACTTTGTCCGAGATGTTCAAAAACAATTCCAAAATTCGGAATTGTTAAGGTACGGTACTATTTTAACTCGGTAACTTCTAAGTTTATATTTGTTTCATATGTCTAAATTAGGTTCATATTTCTACTTGATAAAGAAAAGGTCACATTTGATGATTCTAAACCGATGTTCAAAAGTATACTGAAGCATGACCTGGTTCTTACAGTCATAAGTGATGGTAAGATTGGTAGTTACCTGTCCATTCCTACAGAACTTCGCGAAGACGCTGCACAAGTACTCTATTCCACTGGGTAGGAACAAAAACTATTGATTTGTTGGTATTTTGTATTTGTTCACGAGTAACTGTCTAATTCCAGGAACGTTATTTCTAATAACCGTATTCGATATATTGGGTTGAACCTGAAAGACGAATCTCTGAATCCTGACAAAAAACCAGAACTGGGAGTTATCGACTTTTCCGGTGTAAACAATGCAAATCAACCTATTATGGGCTTAGCGTGTATTGACAAGAGTTCGTATCAAGTAATTCCCGACTCTGTACTTTCCTTTAACGTGCCAAACGACTGGAATTTGGAGGATGCTGCAGCTGTTCCCTCTTCGTATGTCATGGTAGGCAATCTCATTTCGAACACCAAGTTCATACCACAACTAGTGACAAATCTCTCACTAGCGATGAGCAAACCAAGAATGCAAGACCAATTTTGGTCATCAGTATCTCTCACTTCATTCTCTGGTGTTTTTTATTGATTCCATATTGATTTTGTTGTAAACTTGTTCTTAGACTGTTCTCCTGTGGTAATCGACCACAGCAGAATAGCCAGAAAGGATGGAGACGTAGTAATAAAACTGTACGCTATAGCAGCCTTTGCTTAGGCCTCCCGGTCTTGTTCTTGCAATCATCATCATCATAAGGTTGTCAGTCATAAGACTGCTTGAACAAGTACTTCCACTCTTTTCTACCTTGCAATCATAGCAGTGATTTAATCTTGATCCTAGTTTGCTAAATGTATACGACCAAGAGTTATTTTGGCTTAATACAGCCAACCTGTAACTACACTATCTCACTGCTCAGCTAATATCTTTTCTACCCTCAGGCTTACTATTGTTTGATGAAGAAAGCAAGGGTTTCACCTGGAGACAATGTACTCATTCATTCCGCATGTACAGGTATCGGTTTTGCCTGTGTTTCTGTTGCTCTTAGCATTGGATGCAAAGTTTTTGTTACGGTTGCGACGGACGAACAGAAGACCTATGTTTTACAGAAATTTAAAAGGGTAAGTGGAGCACTCCTTTATTCTTTTTCGGGAGTTTCGTTTCGAACATTTTTTGTAGCTTACTCATGGGAATGTATACAGTAGTGTAACTGCGGAATTCGAACCTTTATTCTTGTTAGCAACACAAGGGAAGGGTGCTCAAGTGGTTATTAATAATTTATCGGGAAGATTGTTTGAAGCGTCGTTGAGATGTTTTGGTACGTATGGAAGATTCATCCAACTGGGCCAGTACGACATGGAACAAAATGGGACGTTGGGGTTGGGAATTTTCATGAAAAGCGTAAGTTTCTACAGTGTCTCCCCCGAGTCAATATTCCAATGTTCAATTGAAGAAAAACGGTCTATTGCCAACCTCGTTCAAAAAGGTATTGATAATTTTGTGGTGAGACGTTTGGTTAAAACAGTCTACGATAAATTTGATGCCGAAAAGCTCTTAAGGTAATAAAAGTTTTATAAAATTATTTTTAATGTAGTTCATTTTGCTGATTTGTCCTACAGTGATTTGAATGATAAAGGAAATATTACCAGAAAAATCATTCAATTGACTCACAATATTCCTCTAGGAGAACTTAACACAGACAAAAAGACCAAATTCTTCTGCGACAGCCGGTCATCGTATCTCATAATCGGTAAGAAGTATTTTATGTATAAAAGAAAGGAAACAATTTTAAAAAAATTAATATGCACTATAACGAACGAGCAAGCTTTGACCTATATATTATTATTTCCGATAAACAAATTACGATAACGCTAGTGCAGGAAGCAGGTGCGTGATTAACAAAATGAATTTGAATAAAGATAGCATCAATAATTATAAACAACTCTGCCTGTTTTAATGGAAAGAATATGATTTTTCATTTTTATACTTCGTCAGAAAAAATCTATTAATCTAGCTACTAATAATTAGAGCATAATTTCTGCAGTAATTTGGTGTACACTGATGTCTGACAGTTTTGATAGAATGCTGATTTATTTAAGGTGGCAATGCAGAGTCTTGGATTGACATGGCAGAATGGCTTGTGCTACGAGGAGCCAAAAAAATTATAGCAGCATCCGAGTCAAGACCCCAACAGTCCAGTTTAACAAGGCGACTAACACTTTTACAGTCGTTTTACAATGCTGACATTATTCACGCACCATTTAAAGCTCATACCAGAGACTCTGCGATGGAACTCATTTCCGAAGTATTCATGTTAGGTAAATATTAAAAATTACGATGTTGGTGACGCACCAAAAAACTCTCTGAGCAGGCTGAATGGTATCTTTTTTAATTGAAGGCCCCATCCATGCGGTGTTCTTGTTACCAACTAATTCTGATCAACTTCGAAATTCTGATATAAAGTCAGTCCAGTACATCGATGCTGCATTAAAAACAAAAGCACCGAAGACTTTGTTTGTGAATTTGATGAAAGAGGTCACTGGGGTATGTCAGAATCGGTCAGAAGCCGGATTTCCGACGTGCACGGTTGAGTGGCAACAAGGAATCCAGTTTTCCGATATTCTGGATGATTTGGACGACATCCTCAGTTATCGTTCCAACTACATTTATGTTAAAAACAACGAAATTAATGAACTGTTTGAAGAAAGCAATCAGATGCTGTACAAAAGTAAGTAAAAATCACTAAAGCTTTTTTCAGAACTAATTGGTCCTGCGTCTTAATCCTGGCAAGTAGGCTAGTTTAATTCCTACGTAATAATTCTTATTCGCTTTTACACTATACTATTTTCTACCTACTTGTATTTTTTTCTCTTTAGAGTTGAACAATATGTTGCCCGCTACAATTGAAGATCTGAGACTGCAAGCTTTCCAGGCATCAGTGAAACCGACTTTCATCCAGTTGTCGTCGAAGAGTCCCCTGAAGACCCCCGAGTTACCACCCGTTTTCATAGTCCCAGGACTGCTTCCGAAAAGATACGTTGAAAATTTAGCAGGGAATCTCCTAAACCCGGTCTATTGTGCCGACTTTTCAATTAACAGTATAAAAATAAAGGACGTTTCTCTTCGTCTGGCTGACGTAAGTTGCTATTGATTTTGGATAGTCCACGGTTTTCTTATTCATTAATAATGCCATACATGAAAGCACTGCATTGGAATGTTTTAATAGAAAATGGAAAATATTTTACCAAATGGACCNACGGTTGCGACGGACGAACAGAAGGCCTATGTCTTACAGAAATTTGGAAGGGTAAGTAGAGCACCCCTTTCTTCTTTTCTGGGAAGATCTCTGATCTAAAAGGCATTAGCAGCATTTGCCCCAAAATGGGATTAATATTAAATTATAAATTTTGACAAATCAAACATTTTCCTAGTCAGCCAAATTTTCTTTAAACGATTCCGTAAACATTTTTTTTTTAGCTTACTGATAGAAATGTATACAGTAGTGTGACTGCGGATTTCGAACCTTTATTCTTGTTGGCAACACAAGGGAAGGGTGCCCAAGTGGTTATTAATAATTTATCGGGAAGATTGTTTGAAGCGTCGTTGAGATGTCTTGGTACGTATGGAAGATTCATCCAATTAGGGCAGTATGACATGGAACAAAACGGAACGTTGGGGTTGGGAATTTTCATGAAAAACGTAAGTTTCTACAGCGTCTCCCCTGAGTCAATATTCCAATGTTCAACTGAAGAAAAACGGTCTATTGTCAACCTCATCCAAAAAGGTATTGATAATTTCGTGGTGAGACGTTTGGTTAAAACAGTCTACGATAAATTTGATGCCGAGAAGCTCTTAAGGTAACAAAAATTTTACAAAAATATTTTTAATATTGTTCATTTTGTTGATTTGTTTTACAGTGATTTGAATGATAAAGGAAATATTACCAGAAAAGTCATCCAGGTGACTCATAATCTTCCTTTAGGACAACTAAATACTGTTAACATGACTAAATTTCACTGCGATTACCGGTCATCGTATCTTATAGTCGGTAAGAAGTATATTTTATTTCTGAAAGTGCAAGAAAAAGACGTAATGAATTGCCTAGTAGCAACACACTAGTGTATTTTGACTTATGTATTATTTGCGCTACCGGATTACAAAATGGATTTCGACAGAATGCTAACTAAAAATTTATTTGTTTAAGGTGGCAATGAGGAGTCGTGGATTGATATGGCAGAATGGCTTGTGCTGCGAGGAGCTAAGAAAATTATAGCAGCATCCGAATCAAAACCCCAACAGTCCAATTTAACAAGGCGCCTAACACTTTTAAAGTCGTTTTATAATGCTGACATCATTCACGCACCATTTGAAGCTCATACCAGAGACTCTGCGATGGAACTCATTTCCGAAGTATTCATGTTAGGTAAATATAAAAAATCATGATGTTGGTGACGCACCAAAAAATTCTCTGAGCAGGCTGAATGGTATCTTTCTTAATTGAAGGCCCCATCAATGCGGTGTTCTTGCTACCAAGTAATTATGAGAAACTTCGAAATTCTGATATAAAGTCAGTCCAGTACATCGATGCTGAATTAAAAACAAAAGCTCCAAAGGCTTTGTTTGTGAATTTCATGAAAGAGTTCACTGGAATATGTCAGAATAGGTCAGAAGCCGGTTTTCCGACGTGCACGGTTGAGTGGCAAAACGGAATCCAGTTTTCCGATATTCTGGATGATTTGGACGACATCCTCAGTTATCGATTGAACCACATTTACGTCACAAATAACGAAATTAATGAACTGTTTGGAGAAAGCAATCAGATGCTGTACAACAGTATGTAAAAATAGTTAATACTTTTTCCGTACATGATTGACCCTGTTTCGTAATAACCAGGTTCATTTATGTTCCAAGATTTTTCTAATACTAATTCTTATTGGGCCAAGTGCTCGTTTCAAACTCATACTGTACTTGCCTACAATTCGTCCTTAAAATAAAGTAAAATTAGTATAAATTTCAACTTACCCAACATTATTCTATATATATTTTCCCCTCAGGGTTGAATAGCATGTTACCTACTACAATCGAGGAGCTACGACTGCAAGTTCTTCGGGCTTCTCTGGAGCCCACCTTCTTCCAGCTGTCATCGATGAGTCCTTTGAAGACTCGCGAGTTGCCACCGGTCTTTATATTGCCTGGACTGCTCCCAAAGAAATATGTCGAAAATTTAGCCGGCAACCTTCTCAGTCCGGTCTATTGTGCCGACTTTTCAATTAACGACTTAAAAATAAACGACATTTGTCTGTGCCTGGTTGACGTAAGTTACTATTGATTTTGGATAGTCCACGGGTTTCTTATTCGTTAATAATGTCATACATGAAAACACTGCATTGGAATTTTTTAATAGAAAATGGAAAATATTTTACCAAATGGACCCTTTAACATCGTCGCTGTATCGTGGGGTGGTGCTATAGCTACTGAAATAGCAATAACGTTAGAGAAACGAGGTCACACAACCCAATTATACTATTTGGACGGGGCCCCAGAAACCATCCAATCCACGCTTAGGTTATTGGGATCGGGTGTTANACGTTAGAGAAACGAGGTCACGCAACCCAATTATACTATTTGGACGGGGCCCCAGAAACCATACAATCCACGCTTAGGTTATTGGGATCGGGTGTTAAGAAAGACATCGCACTACTTACGAGATATTTAAAAATAAATGCTGAGGCAAGTTCTTATTCTATTTTTGCAAAGATATCTTAATGAGACAGGGTTCCTTTTAACCAACAGATTTATAATAAACTGGAGCGGCTATCAGACTGGGACAGTCGTCTTCAATTGGTACTAGATTCCCTACAATATACGGAAGAGGGCAAGACATTCCTTAAGAGAGTACTGACGGTGCTAAAGAATCGAATAGACGAACTTCTCGATTACAATTTTAACCATGACAAAATGATTACTGGAAGAATCTTTTTGTTGAGGCCTACAGGATCAAGCAAATACGATAATTGTGGTTTGTCCAAGGTAATCAAAAAATTAATTTTTATTTAAAAACGTAAATTTGTTATTCTAATTTCGATTTCTGTCTCTCTTTTAGATTTGCGACCAAGCAATCAGCATTTTAATAGTGAAGGGCAATCACACAAGCATCCTTCAAAGTCAAGAAACAGCAGATATAATTAATGAACGTGTAAAGTGTTAATTATCAATAAAAGATGAAAAAGTGCAACTACAAACATTGTCATTTTTTATTCTAACCATACCTACCGCCTACATGAATATTACAACTGTTCTATAGCTAACAATAAAAAAAAAATTTTTTTGAGATTTATTTTAAAATTTTCTCTTCTCTGCAAAATCATAGACGGCTATTTGAAACAAACGCCCTTCAAGATTAAGTATATTATAAACTCTGTCGTTCAACCCCTAACTAAATTGTGAAATATTGTACCTCCGTTAAGAATGGATTTATTAAACACTTTTCGAATTTTAACTATTAGATAGATCCATCTCATATTTATCTCGCGTATGCAACTGCTTTATTTTCTGTATACGTATACATACAAGGGCGTATATCAAATATTTTGAAGTACTTATAATTATTATGATAATTATTATTATTGTTACTGTGATTGATCAAAAAAGCCCAAAAGTTTTTCACTGGTTCACATTCACAGGCTAATTCTTTAACTACACAAACAATGCATTTGTATATTTAGTTTTCCATTTATGTTATTAACTAATAATAATAGTTGTAATAATTATCAAATCCAATTGGACCGTTGCAAATAAACTATCCAATTCAATTAATTCATCTTTAATTATTTTAATATTATTCATCGCTATTTATCATATAAAGGAATAGAAATTTTGTAGGTATTGCTTTTAAAGTGTATCTAATGTTAAATGGTAAAAAAAATGCAAACAGGTTTTTAACAAGGTGTTGTTCATTGAAATTGTTAATTCTTATTTTGAGCAACTATAAATACCTATGTCGGAGACTACTGGAAATTTTACAAATAAACATTAGGATTGTTAAATTGGTAGAATGCTGCAATAGACAATTGATTGTAAAGGCCAAGGGCAAAACCAAACTTATGATAATGAAGACCCCATTGTCAAAATAAATCTATAAGTTCGCGAAGATTGCAATTTGCATTCTCATAGTACTTTCATCTTCAGTTAGTGTTACAGTATCAAGTTGAATTGCATCGCGATGAAGAATGGCGAAGAAATTGTTATTTCTGGAATCGGGGGATTTTTTCCTAAATGTATCAATGTGGAAATTTTTCAAAAGTTACTTTTAGAAAACGCCGACTTCCTGGATTCCCGATGGAAAGAAGGTATTTCCATTTTAGATAATTACTGCGCATTCTTCAGAATTTCAAAGGTTCATACCACAAAAACTGTTTGTTATAATATTCATCTCCAGTAAAAGTATGGATTTTCTTGTTAATAATTTGATAAAAAGTAGTATTAAAATCTCCTAAAGGGTTTCAATTTTTGAATTTACAATACTGTTTAGGTCAAGAGTAACACATTCTCCAGAGACAGTAGACTACATTTCGAACGCTTTCAACCTTTTCATTTCCACCGCGTTCACCGTCCATATTTCGCACCAGTACAACGCCGTGTTTCATGCATAGGTTCACCTTTAACAATCTTTTCCGAATTTCTAAATTAATCGTTCGCGAACGTAGAAGTGACTTCCTTTTATTGAAGGCGACTCGACCCTGCACTATCCTCTGCTTTATATCCCTACTAGTCCACTTCTTCTAATTTTTCGGCTCCTATCTTTATATTCGCTTTTTCCCTACTTTTTCTTCCTTTGCATACCAGAATTTTTGTATTACTTTTATTTATTTTCATACAATACTATTTTATCAATACCGCTTCCATTTTATTTAAACTCCTCTCCTTGCTAGATGCTAATACTGCTATATCATCTGCAAGTGACAGTGTGCATCCTTGTCTGACTCACTTTGTAAAATCTTTACAAATTATTGTACATAATTTAAATTTTAGTAATTTTTGTGGAAATAGTGGAGGTAAGTGTCCAATTAGTTATATCACTGATAACCTTACGGTGTATTCCGTTTTGAGAATGGCTTCGTGGCCGAAATAATATTACAGTATTAAAAAAGTGAAAGTCTCCAGTGTTTTATTGACATACTTTCTCAAAAAATAAATGTTGCTAAATGCAGGTCGCACCTATTTGTAGAATAAGGTGCATTATCTATTAAGGAAAGTTTATTTCCAGGAGAAAACAATGTGACAAATATAATCGGAAAGATTCCTAACATTCAATTGTTTGATACCGCTTATTTTGGAATCCATAGGCAGCAATGTATCCATATGGATCCGATGCAACGTTTAGTGCTGGAAAGAACATTTGAAGCACTCATAGATGCGGGTAATTAAATAATAAACTTAAACAACATATACTAATCTTAAATCCATTAAACTATACGAAAAAATCAAACTAATAAATTTAAAGGGATCAATCAAAATTTAATTTCTGGCTTCGTTTGTTTCAGTCGTTTTACTATGACCTTATTTTTGCCATTTGTTAAATAAAGATTGATGATTTTCTTGTTGTTCCATAAAGGGGTAAATCCTATCGATATAAGGGGAAAAAAAGTAGGCGTCTTTATTGGGTCGTCTGTAGGAGAGAATGATAACATTCTGTTTGAAACAGTTGCAAGTGGATTTGGCATTACTGGTCACTCACGATCCATGATGCCGAACAGGATTTCATACTGGTTAAATTTGAAAGGTAAATACACTTAAGCTGAGATAAGTCAAAAATCAAAATTAACATTTCTCATAAAATAATTCGATTTTTATAAATAAAATAAAATTTTGCTTTGCAATGATTAGGTCCTAGCTACGTTTGCGACAGCAACTGGTTGAATGGTTTGGAAGTAATAAGAATGGCTTATGAATCAATTAGAGAAGGACATTGTGATTCCGCCATTGTTGGTACGACAAATTTGACCGTAAATTCAGAAATGAGTTGGGCGTATAACGACATCAAGTTACTTTCCCCAGATGGTATTACAAGATCTTTCGACGCAGATGGTAATATATGGGATTACTAGTAGCTAACATATTATGTCGTAACATTATTAAATAAAGTTCAATTAAGCATTCCCACTATTAATAGTTTCTAACTCGTCAATTTACAGCTAACGGATATGGGCGAAGTGATGGTATTGTGGTATTGTATTTACAAAGAGCAACGAAAGCTAAACGTATTTATGGTACCATTGTCAACGCTCAGACCTGCTTCAATGGAAACCGTGAAGGTCCTTTGATTGCTGTTGATCAGCCCCACATGGTCAAGTTTATGAAAGATTTTTATGCTGAAACTGACGTTGACCCAACAGAAGTAAATTATATCGAAGCGTATGGTTGCGGCATCAGGGTAAATTGATAATTACTTTTGTAAAACTATTTAACGGGGTTGTTTAAACTACGCTTCTAAACAAAGTCACTAATAAATTGGTAGATGCTTTCATGGTAAAAGGTGAACTGATGGTGTCCTGATTCGGATCTACCTAACGTTTCACTAGTGTAAGTGACGAGGTTCAGGAGAGGTCCTTCTATCTTCCATGGTGGATGAGGACTTGCGACTTCTCCTGCAGTAGTTGTCGGGAAGGAGGGGCGGGGGACTTGTTCCGGTTCGGTCAACAGTGGAATGCCGGTCGGTACCGTTTGGGTGTTCCTGAGGACCGGGTTCCCGATGTTCCACCTCCTTGTTGAAGTTGTCCGGATGTGTTTGGACCTCGATGGGTTCTCTGACTATCCTGCTGAAAGTAGCAATTTGCAATCCTCAAAGGGTATTTTGTAGTTGTCGTTGCTCAGTGCGTGTTCGGCCACAGTAGGCTTTTTGGAATGTCCTTGCCGGTAGTTTGCTTTGTGCCCCTTGGGTCTGGTTCCTATTAATCTCTTAGTGATTCCCATATATATACTTTTCCGTAGAAGCGGGGTATTCGCTAAACCTTTGAGGCTGAAAAATGGTCCATTTTGTTCTTAACTGATCTGATGGTCTGCTGGATCCTCTTCGTAGGTTTGAAGATGGTTTTGCACTAACTGTAATCGACGACGGCATCTAGACCCGAATCAGAATAGCTTCAGTTCATTGTCACTAATACCATTAAGCAGCAACTTTTAGCTTCTGTGCTATTATGATATAATTATTTTATATAACTCTATGAACTGTTTAACCTTTTAAGCATGTGGACGAAGTCGAACTAAATGCAATAGAAGAAGTTTATTGCGAAAAGCGTTCTGGTCCTCTTCTCCTCGGATCTATTAAATCCAATATAGGTCACGCTGAAGCATCAGCGTCTCTTATGGCAGTGGTAAAAGCTTTAATATCAATGAATTCAGGGATAATCCCTGCTAATAAACATTACAAAAATCCAAATCCTAATATAAAAGGTCTTATCAATGGTACCCTAAAAGTTGTCAACGAAAATACTCAATGGAGAGGCGATTATGCAGCTGTTAATGCGATCGGCTTGGCCTCATCGTATGGCCATTTGTTGCTCAAAGCAAACAAAAACACTAAGAAAGAAGGCCCTTTAGATGATCTTCCACGTTTATTCATAGCTTCCACCAGAACAGAGGAAGCAATACAAAAAATCCTTAGCACGGTAAGCACAACCAGAAAAGAAATAAGAAATAGCAGTGGAAAAGAAATAACATTTTTTTTATCATGTTAATATTAGGTACAAGATCATAAAAATGAAGTCGAATACGCCAACTTGATACAGGAAATTTTTGCAACCCCAATTCCAGGTCATTTATATCGGGGTTACGTTCTGACGGCAAACGAGGTCAAACAAGAATTCGAAGTTAGATAAAGATTGCGAGTTGTTAAGACCATAATTAAATTAACCGTTTTGTAGCATTACCCCGGCAAAAAACGTCCTGTCTGGTTTGTTTATTCAGGAATGGGTTCTCAGTGGCCAACCATGGCCTCTGATCTCATGCGGATTCCCGTATTTGCCGAATCCATTCAGAGAAGTCACGCCATTCTTCAGAAAAAGAACGTTGATCTCCTTAATATCGTCACAACTGACGACCCCAAAATATTCGATAACATTCTTCATTCTTTCATAGGAATCGCGGCTGTACAGGTAAATATTTAAATTAAAGTTATCCTGGATTTCCATAAAAAAAAAGGAATTGGTATCATTCATTCTCATTCCAAATACACCCGAAGAAGTCTACGTTTTATTGCCTTTAATGTTCCATGTTTGCAGATTGCTTTAACAGATGTACTACACACTGTGGGGGTGGTTCCAGATGGTATAATTGGGCATTCGGTGGGTGAATTGGGATGCGCCTATGCTGATGGGTGTTTGACAGCAGAACAGATGATCCTCGCTGCTTATGCGAGAGGAAAAGCGTCCCTAGAAGCTGAACTCATTCCAGGGATGATGGCTGCAGTGGGTTAGTATTAATCTTCGACCGTAATTTATGTAGATGCTTTTTTACCAAATCGAGGTAAATGTTTATCGATGACCGTAACAAATCTTATAAATAATCTTCCTTAGAACTGTATCTCTAGGATTTACCTGTATCTCAAAATTAATCTTTGCTAAACCTTACTCCCTATCTGAAATCACCTGATCTACATCATTTTACCTGGAAGAAGATTTCAAAATGGTTAAGTTCGTTAATAATTCTACAGGAATTGGGTATCAAGAAATCAAGGATCAGTGTCCACCAACAGTAGAGGTGGCATGTCACAATGGTCCTGAAAGTTGCACCATATCAGGACCAACAAAGGACATGGAAGATTTCGTGGCTCAATTGAAAGAAAGGGGTGTCTTTGCCAGGCTGGTTAATGTTGCCAACATCGCTTATCACAGTAGATACATAAAACCTGCTGCTCCATTTCTATTGAAGTATCTCAAAGAGATCATTCCAATTGCATCACCACGATCTTCAAAATGGATCAGTACGTCTATACCTGAAGACAGATGGGATAGTGATTTAGCGAAAACCTCTTCAGCTGAGTATCATACTAACAATTTACTTAGTTCAGTTTTATTTGAGGAAGCATCAAAACATTTTCCAAAAGACGCCATTGTCATAGAAATAGCTCCACATGGACTTCTACAAAGTATTCTTAAACGCTCTCTGCCACCAGAATGTACAAACATTGCGTTGACTCAAAGAGGACACAGGAGCAACATGGAATTTTTATTGTCAGCTCTTGGAAGGTACTATTCTCATCATCTATTTTTTGACATATCCTTTTTTGAACATTCGCTTATTATATGTGTAGGCTGAGTCTTTCTGAAAACTAGTTTATTTTGTTCTGTTTTCATTTTCTAGTTTTAGATTTGCTGATAGTATACTTCACCACTAAATTTGTTTGAAAGATACATTTTTTTACTATTAAGGAATGGTCGAATGTTCGTCGGTGCTTAATATTCAACAATTTTTTAGAATGTTCATCAGCGGAGTTGATAATATGAGAGTTTCTGCATTATATCCAAAAGTTGAGTATCCAATCGGACGAGGAACTCCTTCATTAACGCCTATTGTACATTGGGAACACAGTGAAGAATGGAGAGTTGGAAGCAACGATAAGTTAAACTATCTAGCTAGTGTTAAAGACATCCAAGTGTCTCTCAACACCGAAGACTTCAAAGAATATGCTGGAAACAAACTGGACACTAAAGTGGTCCTACCACCTTCATTGTACCTGGTAAATCCTTCGAAAATGGAAATAGAAAAGGTTGTTATTATCCAAAACGTCTCAATTTTCTAGATGATCGTCTACAAAATGTTGACTAACTATTACCACAGATGTGAAGATTTTGTATTTGAAAATATTCATTTCAAAAAAGTTCTTAGCATTCCAGCAATCGGTAAGTACGAATTTCGTTATTGTTTCGTGTTGTAGTTTGAGAATTCCAGGGCATGTACCCTTGTCCGCTATGGTACAGAAGGGCAGTGGCCAATTTGAAGTCATGAGTGAAGATGAGATCATAGTTTCCGGAGTCATCAAAACTCCAGAGACAGGAAGCAAAGTTTTATTAGAACTATCATCGCTTGAAATTGGCGAGGAAGCTTATCAGCTAAGTTCTAAAGATTTTTATCAGGAATTTTATCACAGAGGTTGCCAGTATTCTGGGGTGTACAAATCCATAAAGTCATTAACTATTACGAACGAAGGTTATTTGGCTAATAGTCATAACGATACTGACGCTGTTTTGCCTAATACTTGTTTCGTTTTAAGGTTCTGTTGCTGATGTTAAATGGTGTGATAATTGGGCGATATTTTTCGATTTAATGTTGCAACAGTTCTTCTTTCACGCCGGGGAACGTAAACAAGATATTATGGTTCCAAGCCATATCCAGCGTCTTGCAGTGTCCATTCCTCAGATGCCTAGTTCAGAAGGTACATTAATCATGTACTCATATTCAGTACGTTCTAATTTCTTTTAATATTCCAGACACAAAGGTCAATTTCAACGCATCAACTGGCTTGATTTATTCTGATGGCATTCAGATAAGTGGAGTCAGAAGTACATCCCTTCCAAAGGCACCAAAAGCTGTTTTGTATAACTGCATTGAGTTTGTACCATTTTTCAATAAAAAATACAAGGTAATAGCATATACAATGGGCTTGTAAGTATTTACAAAATTGATTAAGGTTAGAGTGACAGTTTCTTCAATGGTAATCAATGTGTCTTGATGCAGTCTTGAGTTAGAAGTTATTATTACTGATTTTAATAACTGTATTTGCAATTTTGGTGGAGGCGCAAGGAAAATGTAATAAATTATTCTTAGGTGACTAATTTTGATCCCATTTTTTTGCAGTCATGGGAAAATGTGATTAATTTCATAATTCAGACCATACGTTTGGTCCCAGGTTACGAGGATATCAGAAGCCTTTCGGTGGTAGAAGTAACGGCTGAACAAGAAATTATTGTTGATAGGGTAAAAAACACGATGACCAAATACAGGGATATTAAAGTAAATATTAAACGATAAGCAATTATAATAATGCAAATAGTTAATTTTTTGTTAAATAAATCTTTCAGACTACGTACTCAATAGTAGAAAATCCGAAGTCGATTGTAGCTTCGCAAAGCGATCCCCTATTTGTGGTGTCCGATAAAGAGTTTGACTCAGACATAGCCGATTATCTAGCCGATTCACATGCTTTTGTATTGATACACTCAAGTGAACAAATTGCTTCATACTCACACATAGCTGAAGTATCACGGTTTGAATTGAACAACAGAAACTATTCACTGATCAGAAAGGTAAGAAAAAGGAATTTCAATCGATCTTGTGTCTCTATTTTCAATTTTATTTATGCGTTTATTGATTGTCCACAATTACTAATCCCCTTCTTTATGTGGAACAATAAACAATTATTATTATTATTAATATTAAGTATTCAACAGGCTGTTAACACCACAGCAGTAATGGTTTATATTCACGGTGACACTTTAACATCGAAAGACTTAGTCAGAAATAATTTACAATGGGTAATGCAATTTAGAAACACTTTGGAAAATCTTCAACCCAAACAAAGACTGTACCTGGTTTCAAATGTTAGTCCATACGAGGGTATCAAAAACTTTGTGGGAGACGTTCAAAAACAATTCCAAAATTCGGAATTGTTAAGGTAAACAAAAAATAGAATGTGGTACTATTTTGATTCGGTACCTTCTAAGTTTATATTTATTTCACGTGCCTTAATTAGGTTCATATTTCTACTTGATAAAGAAAAGGTCACATTTGATGATTCTAAACCGATGTTCAAGAGTATACTGAAGCATGACCTGGTTCTTACTGTCATTAGTGATGGTAAGATTGGCAGTTACCTGTCCATTCCTACAGAACTTCGTGAAGACACTGCACAAGTACTCTATTCCACCGGGTAGGAACAAAAACTATTGATTTATTGGTATTTTATATTTGTCCACGTTTTACTGCCTAATTCCAGGAACGTTATTTCTAATAACCGTATTCGATATATTGGGTTGAATCTGAAAGACGAATCTCTGAATCCTGATAAAATACCAGAACTGGGAGTTATCGACTTTTCCGGTGTAAATAATGCAAATCAGCCTATTATGGGGTTAGCGTGTATTGACAAGAGTTCGTATCAAGTAATTCCCGACTCTGTACTTTCCTTTAACGTGCCAAACGACTGGGATTTGGAGGATGCTGCAGCTGTTCCCTCTTCGTATGTCATGGTAGGCAATCTCATTTTGAACACCAAGTTCATACCACAACTAGTGACAAATCTCTCACTAGCGATGAGCAAACCAAGAATGCAAGACCAATTTTGGTCATCAGTATCTCTCACTTCATTCTCTGGTGTTTTTTATTGATTCCATATTGATTTTGTTGTAAACTTGTTCTTAGACTGTTCTCCTGTGGTAATCGACCACAGCAGAATAGCCAGAAAGGATGGAGACGTAGTAATAAAACTGTACGCTATAGCAGCCTTTGCTTAGGCCTCCCGGTCTTGTTCTTGCAATCATCATCATCATAAGGTTGTCAGTCATAAGACTGCTTGAACAAGTACTTCCACTCTTTTCTACCTTGCAATCATAGCAGTGATTTAATCTTGATCCTAGTTTGCTAAATGTATACGACCAAGAGTTATTTTGGCTTAATACAGCCAACCTGTAACTACACTATCTCACTGCTCAGCTAATATCTTTTCTACCCTCAGGCTTACTATTGTTTGATGAAGAAAGCAAGGGTTTCACCTGGAGACAATGTACTCATTCATTCCGCATGTACAGGTATCGGTTTTGCCTGTGTTTCTGTTGCTCTTAGCATTGGATGCAAAGTTTTTGTTACGGTTGCGACGGACGAACAGAAGACCTATGTTTTACAGAAATTTAAAAGGGTAAGTGGAGCACTCCTTTATTCTTTTTCGGGAGTTTCGTTTCGAACATTTTTTGTAGCTTACTCATGGGAATGTATACAGTAGTGTAACTGCGGAATTCGAACCTTTATTCTTGTTAGCAACACAAGGGAAGGGTGCTCAAGTGGTTATTAATAATTTATCGGGAAGATTGTTTGAAGCGTCGTTGAGATGTTTTGGTACGTATGGAAGATTCATCCAACTGGGCCAGTACGACATGGAACAAAATGGGACGTTGGGGTTGGGAATTTTCATGAAAAGCGTAAGTTTCTACAGTGTCTCCCCCGAGTCAATATTCCAATGTTCAATTGAAGAAAAACGGTCTATTGCCAACCTCGTTCAAAAAGGTATTGATAATTTTGTGGTGAGACGTTTGGTTAAAACAGTCTACGATAAATTTGATGCCGAAAAGCTCTTAAGGTAATAAAAGTTTTATAAAATTATTTTTAATGTAGTTCATTTTGCTGATTTGTCCTACAGTGATTTGAATGATAAAGGAAATATTACCAGAAAAATCATTCAATTGACTCACAATATTCCTCTAGGAGAACTTAACACAGACAAAAAGACCAAATTCTTCTGCGACAGCCGGTCATCGTATCTCATAATCGGTAAGAAGTATTTTATGTATAAAAGAAAGGAAACAATTTTAAAAAAATTAATATGCACTATAACGAACGAGCAAGCTTTGACCTATATATTATTATTTCCGATAAACAAATTACGATAACGCTAGTGCAGGAAGCAGGTGCGTGATTAACAAAATGAATTTGAATAAAGATAGCATCAATAATTATAAACAACTCTGCCTGTTTTAATGGAAAGAATATGATTTTTCATTTTTATACTTCGTCAGAATAAAATTATTATTTATTAATCAGGCCACTAAATATTAGAGCACAATTTCTTTAGTTATCTGATACACTGATGTCTGACAGTTTTGATAGAATGCTGATTTATTTAAGGTGGCAATGCAGAGTCTTGGATTGACATGGCAGAATGGCTTGTACTACGAGGAGCCAAGAAAATTATAGCAGCATCCGAATCAAGACCCCAACAGTCCGGTTTAACAAGGCGCCTAACACTTTTACAATCGTTTTATAATGCTGACATCATTCATGCACCATTTAAAGCTCATACCAGAGACTCTGCGATGGAACTTATTTCCGAAGTATTCATGTTAGGTAAATATTAAAAATTACGATGTTGGTGACGCACCAAAAAATTCTCTGAGCAGGCTGAATGGTATCTTTTTTAATTGAAGGCCCCATCCATGCGGTGTTCTTGCTACCTAGTAATTCTGAGCAAAATTCTGATATAAAATCAGTTCAGTACATCGATGCTGCATTAAAAACAAAAGCTTCAAAGACTTTGTTTGTGAATTTGATGAAAGAGGTCACTGGAATATGTCAGAATCGGTCAGAATCCGGTTTTCCGACGTGCACGGTTGAGTGGCAACAAGGAATACAGTTTTCCGATATTCTGGATGATTTGGACGACATCCTCAGTTATCGATCCAACTATATTTATGTTAAAAATAACGAAATTAATGAACTGTTTGAAGAAAGCAATCAGATGCTTTACAAAAGTAAGTAAAAATCACTTAAACTTTTTTCTGAAATAATTGGTCCAGCGTCATAATCCTAACAAGTAGGCTCGTTTAATTCCTACGTTATAATCCTTATTCGCTTTTACACTATACTACTCTCTACCTACTTGTATTTTTTCCTCTTTAGAGTTGAATAATATGTTGCCCGCTACAATTGAAGATCTGAGACTGCAAGCTTTCCAGGCATCAGTGAAACCGACTTTCATCCAGTTGTCGTCCAAGAGTCCCCTGAAGACTCCCGAGTTACCACCCGTTTTCATAGTCCCAGGACTGCTTCCGAAAAGATACGTTGAAAATTTAGCCGGGAATCTCCTAAACCCGGTCTATTGTGCGGACTTTTCAATTAACAGTATAAAAATAAGGGACGTTTCTCTTCGTCTGGCTGACGTAAGTTGCTATTGATTTTGGATAGTCCACGGTGTTCTTATTCATTAATAATGTCATTGGAATGTTTTAATAGAAAATGGAAAATATTTTACCAAATGGACCTTTCAACATCGTTGCTGTATCGTGGGGTGGTGCTATAGCTACGGAAATAGCAATAACGTTAGAAAAACGAGGTCACACAACCCAATTATACTATTTGGACGGGGCCCCAGAAACCATACAATCCACGCTTAGGTTATTGGGATCGGGTGTTAAGAAGGACATCGCACTACTTACGAGATATTTAAAAATAAATGCTGAGGCAAGTTCTTATTCTATTTTAGCAAAGATATCTTAATGAGACAGGGTTCCTTTTAACCAACAGATTTATAATAAACTGGAGCGGCTATCAGACTGGGACAGTCGTCTTCAATTGGTACTAGATTCCCTACAATATACGGAAGAGGGCAAGACATTCCTTAAGAGAGTACTGACGGTGCTAAAGAATCGAATAGACGAACTTCTCGATTACAATTTTAACCATGACAAAATGATTACTGGAAGAATCTTTTTGTTGAGGCCTACAGGATCAAGCAAATACGATAATTGTGGTTTGTCCAAGGTAATCAAAAAATTAATTTTTATTTAAAAACGTAAATTTGTTATTCTAATTTCGATTTCTGTCTCTCTTTTAGATTTGCGACCAAGCAATCAGCATTTTAATAGTGAAGGGCAATCACACAAGCATCCTTCAAAGTCAAGAAACAGCAGATATAATTAATGAACGTGTAAAGTGTTAATTATCAATAAAAGATGAAAAAGTGCAACTACAAACATTGTCATTTTTTATTCTAACCATACCTACCGCCTACATGAATATTACAACTGTTCTATAGCTAACAATAAAACAATAATTTTTTGAGAAATGAATTAAAACGGGAAAGAATTGTCACTTAAATTATCCAAACAAAAACCTTGGTCTCAGAATTAAATGTTAATATTTCTAGTCTCTTTCATAGTATTAATTTTTCTATATATAGATATGCAATTCGTACCTAATACTAAACCTTTATGAGTCGGAAATTTCTTTTTTTGATAAATTTCCTGAGACCCCAATATTTTTTTTGTTTTGATATGGAACATCTAAGTAAACTAACTACCCTACTTTTGAAAATAACCTTATCTTAGAATATTTAGTAAGTTAGCGGTAAACTCTCTTAACAAGCCCTTCCCTTTTTATCCCTTCAGATTTTAAATTACTAAAGAAACAATTGTAGAGTTTTTAAAGACATAACTTCTAAAGTTTAAATTTTCGTTGAATCCTACTTAAATTACATAAGAATACGTATTCATTAGCTATATACGGGGTAACCTCCCTTTCATTGCAAGAGAGATTGTCCTGCCATCTATTGAATTATTGCATTTTATAAAATCATTTTACGATATATTGATGTTTAATATTATTACGGGTAAAATTTGATTTGTTTAGAGAGAAACTAATTATTACCTAATTCTCTGCGAAATCATAGACAGCTATTTGAAACAAATATCCTTCAAGATTAAGTATATTGTAAATTCTGTCGTCCAACCCCTAACTAAACTGGGAAATAGTTTACCTCCGTTAAGAATTGATTCATCAACCCTTTTCGAATTTTAACTATTAGATAGATCCATCTCATATTTATCTCGCGTATGCAACTGCTTTATTTTCTGTATACGTATACATAAAAGAGCGAATATCAAATATTTAGAAGTATTTATACGTATTATAATTATTGTTACTGTGATTGATCAAAAATGTCCAATTTTTCACTGGTTAACATTTGCCGGCTGATTCTTTAACTACACAAACAACGCATTTGTATACTTAGTTCTTCACATATGTTATGCTCTAATAATAGTAGTTTTAATAGTTATTCAATCCAATTGAACCGTTGCAAATAAAGTATTTCAATTAAGTCATCTTTATTTATTTTAATATTACTTATTGCTATTTATCATAGAAAGGAACAGTAATTTTGTAGGTATTGCTTTTAAAGTTTACCTAACGTTAAATGGTAAAAACAAATGCAAACAAGTTTTTAACAAGGTGTTGTCCATTGAAATTGTTTATTCTTATTCTGAGCAACTGTAATTACTTATGTCAGTGATTACTGATGCACACCGGTATTGAACATTTTACAATTAAACATTGGGATTGTTAAATTGCTACAATGTTGCAATAAACAATTGATTGTAAAGGCCAAGGGCAAAATAAAACTTATGATAATGAATACCCCATTGTGAAAACAAATTTATAAGGTCGCGAAAATTGCAATTTGCATCTCATAGTACTTTCATCTTCAGTTAGTGTTACAGTATCAAGTTGAATTGCATGGAAATGAAGAATGTTGAAGAAATTGTTATTTCTGGAATCGGTGGATTTTTTCCTAGATGTATCAATGTGGAAATTTTTCAAAAGTTACTTTTAGAAAACGCAGACTTCCTGGATTCCCGATGGAAAGAAGGTATATTTTCATTTTAGGAAATTAACTGAACAAGAAGTGTGGTTTAAAGTTTAAATGAAGAGAATAGACTTGAGCCATTTCATTTACAGAAAATAAAAAAATGGTTAAGTAATATACTGTTTAGGATTTCGAAAGTTCATGCCACAAAAATTCCTTTCTCTTTGCTATACTTCACTGTAAAGTACACATATAATGTTATTTTAAGTAAAGAATTTGTTAAAAATTAGTATTCGTTTCTCATTTTTCCAAGACTTCATTTTCTTTAAAATATTGTTTAGGCCAACAGAAGGGCATTCTCCAGAGATAGTACAAATTTGGAATAAGTAACAAAAATTTATGGGAGATTATAAAGAATATTGGACTGAGGACGATTTCAATTTATGGAGAACGGGGGGGGGGGAATCCTAGAGATTAAAAAGACGTTAATACAGCAAACAACAAAACCTCATACTTATAACTTCCCTCACATCACCCACCATTTGTAACCAGCCCCACTGGAATACCCTTTAAAATCCATACAAATTATTTTATATAATTTAAAATAATTAAGTAAACTTCGTGGAAACAATGAAAGTGCGTGTCCAACCAGTCTTAACTAATTGACGACTTTGTGATGTACTCTCTCTTGAGAATGACTTCTTAGCCAAAAAAATATTGCATGGTTCAGGCCGTGAAAGAATAAATGCACCTATTTGTAGAATTGGGTGCGTTGTTTGTTAAAGAACGTTTATTTCCAGGCGAAAACGATGTGACAAATATAATCGGAAAGATTCCTAACATTCAATTTTTTGATACCGCTTATTTTGGGATTCACAGACAACAATGCATCCATATGGACCCTATGCAACGCGTAATGCTAGAAAGAACTTTTGAAGCACTCATAGATGCAGGTAAATAACAAAATGAAAGAATATTTTTGAAAATTTTCAATCTTAGGCCCATTAACTTATTTGTAACGAAAACATCAAAACAAGAATACTTTATAAATTTAAATTGATCAAAACATCTAACACTGTTTGCTTGTCTTTATATTGACCTTATTTTTGCCATTTGTTGTCTGTTATCTTGTTATGATTTTGTTGTTGTTCCTTAAAGGGATAAATCCTATCGATATAAGAGGGAAAAAGGTAGGCGTTTTTGTTGGGTCTTCTGTAGGAGAGAATGATAATATCTTTTACGAATCCGTTGTAAGTGGATTTGGTGTTACTGGTCACTCACGATCTATGATGCCGAACAGGATTTCGTACTGGTTAAATTTGAAAGGTACATCTTCCTTTAATACTTACATTAAGATGTATTAGAAGTAACCGAAATCAGGATATCTCATAAAAGACTTCGATCTGTNATCAAAACATATTCCAAAAGACGCCATTGTCATAGAAATAGCTCCCCATGGACTTCTACAAGCTATTCTCAAACGCTCTTTGCCACCACAATGTACGAATATTGCTTTGACTCAAAGAGGAAACAGAAGCAACGTTGAATTTTTATTGTCAGCTCTTGGAAGGTACTGTATACATCGTCTCTTATCAGTTTTATGTTCTTCACCACTACAATCGTTTGAAATGATATATTTTCTTGCTTTTAAATAATGGTCGTATGATCGTCAGTGCTTCATTCTCAACAATTTTTTAGGATGTACATAAGTGGAGTTGATAATATGAGAGTTTCTGCGTTATATCCGAAAGTTGAGTATCCAGTTAGAAGGGGAACTCCCTCTTTGACGTCCATTGTACACTGGGAACACAGTGAAGAATGGAGACTTCTAATCGAAGATAAATCGAACTATCTAGTCAGTGTAAAAAACATCCAAGTGTCTCTCAACACCGAAGAATTTCAGGAGTATATTGGGAACACACTGGGATGTAGGGCAATTCTACCACCTTCTTTGTACTTGGTAAGTCCTTCGAAAGATAAAAAATGGTTCTGTTCTTTTCCAAAACATTTCAATTTTCTAGATGATAGTCTACAAAATGTTGACTGACGAATTCCACACATGTGAAGATTTTGTATTTGAAAATCTTCATTTTAAAAAAGTCCTTAGCACTTCGGCAATCGGTATATTCGCATTTAGTTACCTATTGTTTCCTGTTGTAGTTTGAAAATTCTAGGGCACGTACCCTTGTCCGCTATGGTACAGAAGGGCAGTGGCGAATTTGAAGTCATAAGTGAAGATGAAATCATAATTTCCGGAGTCATCAAAACCCCAGAGACAGGAAGCAATGTTTTATTAGAACTACCATCGCTTGAAATTGGCGAGGAAGCTTATCAGCTAAGTTCTAAAGACTTTTATCAGGAATATTATCACAGGGGTTGCCAGTATTCTGGGGTGTACAAATCCATTAAGTCATTAACTATTACGAAAGAAGGTTATTTGGCTAATAGTCATAACGATACTGACGCTGTTTTTCTTAATATTTGTTTCGTTTTAAGGTTCTGTTGCTGATGTTAAATGGTGTGATAATTGGGCGATATTTTTCGATTTAATGTTGCAACAGTTCTTCTTTCACGCCGGGGAACGTAAACAAGATATTATGGTTCCCAGCCATATCCAGCGTCTTGCAGTGTCCATTCCTCAGATGCCTAGTTCAGAAGGTACATTAATCATGTACTCATCTTCAGTACGTTCTAATTTCTTTTAATATTCCAGATACAAAGATCAATTTCAATTCATCAACTGGCTTGATTTATTCTGATGGCATTCAGATAAGTGGAGTCAGAGGTGCGTCTCTTCCAAAGCTACGAAAAGCTGTTTTGTACAACTGTGTTGAGTTTGTACCATTTTTCAATAAAGTATACAAGGTAAGAGGAAGTAAAATGTGTTTATAATTATTTACAAATAAGTTATTATTAATCAACTTAGTTCATTTATACAAATACTACAATTAAAATCTGATTTCTTGACCTTTTTCCTGAGAACATTAACCTATTTTTAAATATAAATTGATGGTTTCTTTATGAATAACCTATATACCCGAACGCAGTCTTGAACTAAAAGCGAAATGCAGGATTTTTTGTCCATACAATTTTGATGAAGGCGCCAGGAATATCTCACAAACTCTTTTTCAGACGACGAATTTTAATCTCATTCTTTTAGTCATGGGAAAGTGTGTTTAATTTCACCATTCAGGTCATAAGTTTAACCCCAGGTTACGAGGAGATTAAAAGCCTTTCGGTGGTAGAAGTTACGGCTACAGATGGAAGTATTATTGATAGAGTAAAAAGCACCATGACCAAATACAGGGACATTAACGTAAATATTAAACCAAAAATAATTCTAAATAATTTTGTTAGATAAATATTTCAGGCTACGTACTCAATCGTAAGAAGTCTGAAGTCGATTGTAGCTTCGCAAAGCGATCCCTTATTTGTGGTGTTCGATGAAGATTTTGACTCAGACGTAGCCGCTTATCTAGCCGATTCACATGCACTTATACTAACACGATCAAATGAACGAATTGCTTCATATTCACACATAATTGAAGTGTCACGGCTTGAATGTAATAACAGAAATTATTCACTTATAAAAAAGGTAAGTGACACTAACTTTAACTTCCTATATCTTTATTTTTAAAAACAAAAAGTATTAATTCGCAATGATTAAGTTATCACAAACATGCTTTTTCGATCGGACGAAAATCTGATTGATTTTCTACCAACTTTTCTAATAAATAGTAATTCTTCAAAATTTCGTGGTTGGTCTTTTCGTATTATAAACGTATAAATAAATTCTATGCGCCAGGAATGTAATCAGGGTGGACGCCAAGAGATCCAAACTCTTTCTTATCTTCAAGTTAAGAAAGTGAAGGTGTTATTACTTTACTCATTTAATCTGTTTTTAATTCTCATTTAACTGTTTTCTCTAATAAATAATCAATTAATAATCTAATTGTGTAATATACGTAAAAACAACAAATATTATCACATTCGAGATTCCCGTCACTCTCAGATGAAGACAATTTTCTCTAGACTTCATTTTTCAGCAATTTTTTCTGAGAAAAACTCATTAAATTAAACAATACATAAATAAAAAGCAATAAATCTTCGAATTATTTGTCTCTTTGTACATTCTACAGGTTGCGAAGACCACTGCAGTGGTGGTTAATGTCTATGGTGCTACTCTAACATCTAAAGACTTAGCTAAGAATAATATAAAATGGGTAATGCAATTTAGAAGCACTTTGGAAAATCTTCAGCCCAAACAAAGGCTGTACCTGGTTTCAAATGTCAGTCCATACGAAGGTGTCAACAACTTTGTCCGAAACGTTCAAAAACAATTGCGAAATTCAGAATTGTTAAGGTATGGTACTATTTTGATTCGGTAACTTCTAAGTTTATATTTGTTTTATATGTCTAAATTAGGTTCATATTTCTACTTGATAAAGAAAAGGTCACATTTGATGATTCTAAATCGATATTCAAGAGTATACTGAAGCATGACCTGGTTCTTACTGTCATTAGTGATGGTCAGATTGGTAGTTATCTGTCCATTCCTACAGAACTTCGAGAAGAAGCTAAACAAATATTCCATGCCTCCGGGTAGGAACAAAAACAATTAATTTACTAATGGCTGAGATTTATACATGTATAACCGTATAATTCCAGGAATGTTATTTCTAATAAACATATTCGATATATTGGGTTGAATCTGAAAGACGAATCTGTCAACCCTGATAAAGAGCCAGAACTAGGGCCTATCGATTATTCTGCCGTAAACAATTCTAATCAACCTATCATGGGCTTAGCGTGCTTTGACAGGAGTTCGTATCAAATAATTCCCGATTCTGTTCTTTGCTGGAATGTGCCTGACGGTTGGAATTTAGACGATGCTGCAGCTGTTCCTTATTCGTACGCCATGGTAGGCAAACTTAAACGTATTGAACAAGAATCTTATGTCACATCTAGCGGTAAATCTCTGCAGACGGCGTTCTCTCCGCTGTCTGTAGTTGTTCAATAATTTGGTTGCAAACCTCTTTTCGGACTATTCTACTGTGGTAAGTGATAACTTGGTTGAAAATTCCGATTCATGAACCACAGCAGATGAGTCTGAAAAGAAATGGTGAAGAACAAATGCAAAACCGAAATCGAGATTATTCTCGAGGAGGGGAAATCTCCAAGACCCCTCCTGAGGGTAGGTAGTGTCGGATTTTTACAGACTAAAACCCCTTCTTGAGTGGGGAGATAAACCCGAAAGCTGTTCATCCCCCGAAGACTGTAGCAGCCTCGGGTTTGTCCTCCCGTTCTTGCTCATAGACTTGTCCTTGGAATTATAGCAGTTGCCTTTGTCTTCCATATGTGCAACTTGTTTTGCTCATTACCAGAAACATGTTTACAACAGAACGTAGACTGCATATACGAACAACTGTAGTGATTTTTTTATGTCCGCAGGCTTATCATTGTTTGATAAATAAAGCAAGGGTTACCACTGGAGGAAATGTACTCATCCATTCCGCTTGTACTGGGGTTGGTTTTGCCTGTGTTTGTATTGCCCTTAGCATTGGATGTAACGTTTTCGTCACGGTGACTACAGACCAACAGAAGGCCTACATTTTACAAAAATTTGATAGGGTAAGTAGAACAGTCTTACAGTTTCGAGAAGTACCTATTGGACTTGAAACATGCAACAAATAAAATCGAAACATATGAAGAGTATCAAAAGCAAGAATTAGCTTGAATTATAGATTACCTTAAGTAAATGCTTCAAGTTACTAAAATCTTTGAATTTTTGATGGCAGCAAGCACAGTGCGCTGATGAGAACCAATAACTTATGTTAGCCTAATAAATCAAATGATCTAAATACATTAAAGTATTTGTTTCCTTTAGCTTATTGATAGGAATGTATACAGTAATGTCACTGCGGATTTCGAACCTTTATTCTTGTTAGCAACACAAGGGAAGGGTGCCCAAGTGGTTATTAACAATTTATCGGGAAGATTCTTTGAAGCGTCGTTGAGATGCCTTGGTATGTACGGAAGATTCATTCAACTAGGTCAGTATGACATGGAACAAAACGGAACGATGGGATTGGGAGTTTTTTTTAAACACGTAAGTTTTTATCACGTCTCCCTCGAGTCAATATTTCAATGTTCAATTGAAGAAAAACGGTCTGTTGCCAACCTCGTTCAAAAAGGTATTGATAATCTTGTGGTGAGACATTTGTTTAAAGCAGTCTACGATAAATTTGATATCGAAAAGCTTTTGAGGTAATAAAAGTTTTACGAAATTATTTTCAATTGAGTTTATATTATCAATGCATCTTTTAGTGACCTAAATGATAAAGGAAATATTACCAGAAAAGTCATCCAGGTGACTCATAATCTTCCTTTAGGACAACTAAATACTGTTAACAAGACCAAATTTCACTGTGATTACCGGTCATCATATCTTATAGTCGGTAAGAAGTATATTTCATTTTTGAAAGTGCAAGAAAAAGACGTAATGAATTGCCTAGTAGCAACACACGAGTGTATTTTGAGTTATGTATTATTTGCGCTACCAGATTACAAAATGGATTTCGACTGAATGCTAACTAAAAATTTATTTGTTTAAGGCGGCAATGAGGAGTCGTGGATTGATATGGCAGAATGGCTTGTGCTGCGAGGAGCTAAGAAAATTATAGCAGCATCCGAATCAAAACCCCAACAGTCCAATTTAACAAGGCGCCTAACACTTTTAAAGTCGTTTTATAATGCTGACATCATTCACGCACCATTTGAAGCTCATACCAGAGACTCTGCGATGGAACTCATTTCCGAAGTTTTCATGTTAGGTAAATATAAAAAATCATGATGTTGGTGACGCACCAAAAAATTCTCTGAGCAGGCTGAATGGTATCTTTCTTAATTGAAGGCCCCATCAATGCGGTGTTCTTGCTACCAAGTAATTATGAGAAACTTCGAAATTCTGATATAAAGTCAGTCCAGTACATCGATGCTGAATTAAAAACAAAAGCTCCAAAGGCTTTGTTTGTGAATTTCATGAAAGAGTTCACTGGAATATGTCAGAATAGGTCAGAAGCCGGTTTTCCGACGTGCACGGTTGAGTGGCAAAACGGAATCCAGTTTTCCGATATTCTGGATGATTTGGACGACATCCTCAGTTATCGATTGAACCACATTTACGTCACAAATAACGAAATTAATGAACTGTTTGGAGAAAGCAATCAGATGCTGTACAACAGTATGTAAAAATAGTTAATACTTTTTCCGTACATGATTGACCCTGTTTCGTAATAACCAGGTTCATTTATGTTCCAAGATTTTTCTAATACTAATTCTTATTGGGCCAAGTGCTCGTTTCAAACTCATACTGTACTTGCCTACAATTCGTCCTTAAAATAAAGTAAAATTAGTATAAATTTCAACTTACCCAACATTATTCTATATATATTTTCCCCTCAGGGTTGAATAGCATGTTACCTACTACAATCGAGGAGCTACGACTGCAAGTTCTTCGGGCTTCTCTGGAGCCCACCTTCTTCCAGCTGTCATCGATGAGTCCTTTGAAGACTCGCGAGTTGCCACCGGTCTTTATATTGCCTGGACTGCTCCCAAAGAAATATGTCGAAAATTTAGCCGGCAACCTTCTCAGTCCGGTCTATTGTGCCGACTTTTCAATTAACGACTTAAAAATAAACGACATTTGTCTGTGCCTGGTTGACGTAAGTTACTATTGATTTTGGACAGTCCACGGTTTTCTTATTTATTAATAAAGCCATACATGAAAGCACTGCATTGGAATGTTTTAATAGAAAATGGAAAATATTTTACCAAATGGACCCTTCAACATCGTTGCTGTATCGTGGGGTGGTGCTATAGCTACGGAAATGGCAATAATGTTAGAGAAACGAGGTCACGCAACCCAATTATACTATTTGGACGGGGCCCCAGAAACCATGCAATCCACGCTTAGGTTATTGGGATCGGGTGTTAAGAAGGAAATTGCATTAGTTATGAGATTTCTAAAGATTAATCCTGAGGCAAGTTCAATTTCCTTTTTCAAAAATATTTTATTGAGACGATGTTCCATTTAACCAATAGATTCTTAATAAACTGGAACTATTATCAAATTGGGATACTCGACTACAGCTTGTGCTAGATTCCGTACAATATGTGAAAGAGGACAAGACATTCCTTACGAAAATACTCACGGTGCTGAAGAATCGAATAGACGAACTCCTGGATTACAAGTTTAACCACGACAAAATGATTACTGGAAGAATCTTTTTGTTGAGGCCTACAGGATCAAATAAATACGATAACTGTGGTTTGTCAAAGGTACACCAAAAAATTGATTTTTATGCCGGTAGATTATAAAGTCTCGCAAGGTTGAACTCGCCGCATCTCTGACGTGTGGATGTCTTCGGCGAGACTCACAGTGCAGTGCTGAATTAAGATAAAATCTCGTAAGGAGAGAATCAAGAATGTAAGGTAAATTTTGTTAGGACACTGGGAGTCCTAACAAGATTTACTTTCTCTCGATAAATTTAGAATTTTTTCTCGATATTACGTTATAGAAATATAAATCTGTAGGTGTTATTCTAATTTCGATTTCTGCTTCTTTTTTAGATTTGCGACCAAGCAATCAGCATTTCAATAGTGAAGGGCAATCACACAAGTATCCTTCAAAGTCAAGAAACAGCAGATATAATTAATGAACGTGTAAAGTGTTAATTATCAATAAAAGATAAAAAACTGCAACTGCAAACATTGTCATTTTTTATTGTAACCATACCTACACCTACATGAATATTACAACTGTTCTATAGCTAATAATAAAACAATAATTTCTAGAGAGATGAATTAAAATGGGAAAGAATTATCATTTAAATTATCCAAACAAAAACCTTGGCCTCAGAATTAAATATTAATCATTCAAATCTCTTTCATAGCGTTATTTTTTCTATGTATAGATATGCAATACATACCTAATACTAAACCTTAATGAATCGGAAATTTTGTTTTCTTGATAAATTTCCTGAAGTCCTAATATGTTTTTTTGTTTTGATATGGAACATCTAAGTAAAGTAACCACCCTAGTCTTGAAAATAACCTTATCGTAGATTATATAGTAAGTTAGGGTTAAACTCCCTTAACAGCCCCTTCCCTTTTTATCCGTTCAGATTTTAAATTACTAAAGAAACAGTTGTAGAGTTTTTAAAGACATAACTTCTAAAGTTTAAATTTTCGTTGAATCCTACTTAAATTACATAAGAATACGTATTCATTAGCTATATACGGGGTAACCTCCCTTTCATTGCAAGAGAGATTGTCCTGCCATCTATTGAATTATTGCATTTTATAAAATCATTTTACGATATATTGATGTTTAATATTATTACGGGTAAAATTTGATTTGTTTAGAGAGAAACCTATTATTACCTAATTCTCTGCGAAATCATAGACAGCTATTTGAAACAAATATCCTTCAAGATTAAGTATATTGTAAATTCTGTCGTCCAACCCCTAACTAAACTGGGAAATAGTTTACCTCCGTTAAGAATTGATTCATCAACCCTTTTCGAATTTTAACTATTAGATAGATCCATCTCATATTTATCTCGCGTATGCAACTGCTTTATTTTCTGTATACGTATACATAAAAGAGCGAATATCAAATATTTAGAAGTATTTATACGTATTATAATTATTGTTACTGTGATTGATCAAAAATGTCCAATTTTTCACTGGTTAACATTTGCCGGCTGATTCTTTAACTACACAAACAACGCATTTGTATACTTAGTTCTTCACATATGTTATGCTCTAATAATAGTAGTTTTAATAGTTATTCAATCCAATTGAACCGTTGCAAATAAAGTATTTCAATTAAGTCATCTTTATTTATTTTAATATTACTTATTGCTATTTATCATAGAAAGGAACAGTAATTTTGTAGGTATTGCTTTTAAAGTTTACCTAACGTTAAATGGTAAAAACAAATGCAAACAAGTTTTTAACAAGGTGTTGTCCATTGAAATTGTTTATTCTTATTCTGAGCAACTGTAATTACTTATGTCAGTGATTACTGATGCACACCGGTATTGAACATTTTACAATTAAACATTGGGATTGTTAAATTGCTACAATGTTGCAATAAACAATTGATTGTAAAGGCCAAGGGCAAAATAAAACTTATGATAATGAAGACCCCATTGTCAAAATAAATCTATAAGTTCGCGAAAATTGCAATTTGCATTCTCATAGTACTTTCATCTTCAGTTAGTGTTACAGTATCAAGTTGAATTGCATCGCGATGAAGAATGGCGAAGAAATTGTTATTTCTGGAATCGGGGGATTTTTTCCTAGATCTATCAATGTGGAAATTTTTCAAAAGTTACTTTTAGAAAACGCAGATTTCCTGGATTCCCGATGGAAAAAAGGTATATTTCCATTTCAGGCATTTATTCGTGTCCTATAGTTATATTCGCTCTTTCCCTACTTTTTCTTCCCTTGCATACCAGTATTTATAACTGCCTGTTGCTCTTTCTACATAAAATTTAAATAAATGTTTAATTTAAATTTTTCATAAAAACTTTGTTAAAAGCAAGAAATTATCCTTATTAGAAAACCTAGAGATTAAAAAATCATTAATAGTAATTTCAATACAGTTAATAACAAAACAACCTCATACTTCCCCCACATCGTCCACAAATTGCAACCAACCCCCAGCCAAATAATATTACAGTACTCAAAAAGTGAAAGTCTCTAGTGTTTTATTGTTATACTTTCTGAAAAAATAAATGTTGGTAAATGCAGGGCGCACCTATTTATAGAATGAGGTACATTATCTGTTAAGGAACGTTTATTTCCAGGAGAAAACGATGTGACAAATGCAATTGGAAAGATTCCTAACATTCAATTTTTTGATACCGCTTATTTTGGAATCCATAGGCAGCAATGTGTCAGCATGGATCCAATGCAACGTTTAGCGTTGGAAAGAGCATTTGAAGCACTTATAGATGCAGGTACCTAAATTACAAATTGAAAGAATATATACTAATCTTAAATCCAATAAACTATACCTAACTAACTAGTAAATTTAAAAGGATCAATCGAAATTTAATTTTAGGCATTGTTTGTTTCAGCTGTTTTATAATGACCTTATTTTTGCTATTTGTTAAAAAAAGATTAATGATTTTCTTGTTGTTCCATAAAGGGGTAAATCCTATCGATGTAAGGGGAAAAAAAGTGGGCGTTTTTGTTGGGTCGTCTATAGGAGAGAATGATAACATTCTGTTTGAAGCAGTTACGAATGGATTTGTTATTACTGGTCACTCACGATGTATGATACCGAACAGGATTTCATTCTGCTTAAAATTAAAAGGTATATTTTACTATGACACCTGCTATAACTATTAAGCTGAGATAAGTTAAGAATCAAAATTAATATTTCTCATAAATGAGAAAACGATTTTTTGTTGATAAAATAAAATTTTGCGTTGCAATGATTAGGTCCTAGCTGCGATTACGACAGCACCTGGTTGAATGGTTTGGAAGTAATAAGAATGGCTTATGAATCAATTAGAGAAGGACATTGTGATTCCGCCATTGTTGGTACGACAAATTTGACCGTAAATTCAGAAATGAGTTGGATGTATAACGACATGAAGTTGCTTTCCCCAGATGGTATTACAAGATCTTTCGATGCAGATGGTAATATCTGGGATAACAATCCATTTTACGAATATTGTACTTGTAGCTAACATATTATTTCGTAACAATATTAAATAAAGTTCAATTAAGCATCTTCACTATTAATAGTTTCTAACTCGTCAATTTACAGCTAACGGATATGGGCGCAGTGATGGTATTGTGATGTTGTACTTACAAAGAGCAACGAAAGCTAAACGTATTTATGGTACCATTGTCAACGCTCAGACCTGCTTCAATGGAGACCATGAAGGTCCCTTGATAGCTGTTGATCAGCCCAGCATGGTCAAGTTTATGAAAGATTTTTATTCTGAAACTGACGTTGACCCAACAGAAGTACATTATATTGAAACGTATGGTTGCGGCATCAAGGTAAATTTATATTTGATACATCAAGTGTTAACGGAGTTGTTTAAACTAAGCTTCTAAACAAAGTCACTAATAAATTGGTAGATGCTTTCATGGTCAAAGGTGAACTGACGGTGTCCTGATTCGGATCTACCTAACGTTTCACTAGTGTAAGTGACGAGGTTCAGGACAGGTCCTTCTATCTTCCATGGTGGATGAGGACTTGCGACTTCTCCTGCAGTAGTTGTCGGGAAAGAGGGGCGGGGGACTTGTTTCGGTTCAGTCAACAGTGCCATGCCGGTCGGCACCGTTTGGGTGTTCCTGAGGACCGGGTTCCCGATGTGGTTGAGTCTAAGGTCTCCACCTCCTTGTTGAAGTTGTCCGGATGTGTTTGGATCTCGATGGGTTCTGTGACTATCCTCCTGAAACTAGCAATGTGCAATCCTCAAAGAGTATTTTGTAATTGCCGTTGCTCAGTGTGGGCTCGGCCCCAGCAGACTTTTTGGAATGTCCTTGCCGGTAGTTTGCTTTGTGCCCCTTGGGTCTGGTTCCTATTGATCTCTTAGTGATTCCTATGTATACCTTCTCGTAGAAGCGGGGTATTCGCTAGACCTTTGAGGCTGAACAATGGTCCATTTTGTTCTTAACTGATCTTATGGTCTGCTGGATCCTCTTCGTAGGTTTGAAGATGGTTTTGCACTAACTGTAACCGACGACGGCATCTAGACCCGAATCAGAATAGCTTCAGTTCATTGTCACTAATACCATTAAGCAGCAACTTTTAGCTTCTCTGCTATTATGATATAATTATTTTATATAACTCTAAGAACTGTTTAACCTTTTAAGCATGTGGACGAAGTCGAACTAAATGCAATAGAAGAAGTTTATTGCGAAAAGCGTTCTGGTCCTCTTCTCGTAGGATCTATTAAATCCAATATTGGTCACGCTGAAGCATCAGCGTCTCTTATGGCAGTGGTAAAAGCTTTAATATCAATGAATTCAGGGATAATCCCTGCTAATATACATTACAAAAACCCAAATCCTAATATAAAAGGTCTTATTAACGGTACCCTAAAAGTTGTCAACGAAAATACTCAATGGAGAGGCGATTATGCAGCTGTTAATGCGATCGGCTTGGCCTCATCGTATGGCCATTTGTTGCTCAAAGCAAACAAAAACACTAAGAAAGAAGGCCCTTTAGATGATCTTCCACGTTTATTCATAGCTTCCACCAGAACAGAGGAAGCAATACAAAAAATCCTTAGCACGGTAAGCACAACCAGAAAAGAAATAAGAAATAACAGTGGAAAAGAAATAACATTTTTTTTATCATGTTAATATTAGGTACAAGATCATAAAAATGAAGTCGAATACGCGAACTTGATACAGGAAATTTTTGCAACCCCAATTCCAGGTCATTTATACCGAGGTTATGTTCTCACGGGAAACGAAGTCAGACAAGAATTTTTGGTAAGGTAACTGATTCTATGTATTTAAAACCATAATTCAATTAAATTTTGTAGCATTATCCAGGCAAAAAGCGTCCTGTTTGGTTTGTCTATTCGGGAATGGGTTCTCAGTGGGTATGCATGGCCTCTGATCTCATGCGGATTCCCGTATTTGCCGAATCCATTATGAGAAGTCACGCCATTCTCCAGGAAAAGAACGTTGATCTCCTTAATGTCATCACGACTGACGACCCCAAAATATTCGATAATATTCTTCATTCTTTCATAGGAATCGCAGCTGTACAGGTAAATATTTAAATTAAAGTTGTCCTGGATTTCCAAAAAAAAAGAAATTGGTATCATTCATTCGCATTCTAAAGATACCCGGAGGAGCCTACGTTTTATTGCCTTCAATGCTCCATGTTTGCAGATTGCTTTAACAGATTTACTGAACACCGTGGGGGTGGTACCAGATGGTATAATTGGACATTCGGTAGGTGAAATGGGATGCGCCTATGCTGATGGGTGTTTGACAGCAGAACAGATGATCCTCGCTGCTTATGCAAGAGGAAGAGCGTCCCTAGAAGCCGAACTTATTCCAGGGATGATGGCTGCAGTGGGTTAGTATTAATTGGGGAATGGTCGAACATTCGGCAATGTGAGATCGAAATTTATTTAGGTGCTTTTTTATCAAATCAAGGTTTTTTTATAAATAATCTCAAATTAATCTTTATCAAACCTTATTTTCTACCCCAAATCACCGTATTTACATAATTGTACCTAAAAAGTTCGTCAAAATTTCTACAGGAATTGGGTATCAACAAATCAAGAATCAGTGTCCTCCAACAGTAGAAGTGGCATGCCACAATGGTCCTGAAAGTTGCACCATATCAGGACCAACAAAGGACATGGAAGATTTCGTGGCTCAATTGAAAGAAAGGGGTGTCTTTGCCAGGCTGGTTAATGCTGCAAATATCGCGTATCACAGTAGATACGTAAAACCTACCGCTCCGCTTCTTCTGAAGTATCTCAAGGAGATCATTCCAATTGCATCCCCACGATCTTCAAAATGGATCAGTACGTCTGTACCTGAAGACAGATGGGATTGTGATTTAGCGAAAACTTCTTCAGCGGAGTATCACACAAACAATTTACTTAGTTCAGTTTTATTTGAGGAAGCATCAAAACATATTCCAAAAGACGCCATTGTCATAGAAATAGCTCCCCATGGACTTCTACAAGCTATTCTTAAACGCTCTCTGCCACCAGAATGTACCAACATTGCTTTGACTCAAAGAGGACACAGGAGCAACATGGAATTTTTATTGTCAGCTCTTGGAAGGTATATCCACTTCATCTACTTTTTGACTAGCCCTTTTATGAACATTCGCTTATTATATTTCCAGGCTTTCTTTCCAAAAACTAGCTTTATTTTCTTCTGTTTTCATTTCCCACTTTTAGATTTGCTAAAATATGCTTCACCATTAAATTTATTTGAAAGATATACTTCCTTACAATTAAAGAATGGTTAAATGTTCGTCAGTGCTTCATATTCAACAATTTTTTAGAATGTTCATCAGTGGAGTTGATAATATGAGAGTTTCTGCATTATATCCAAAAGTTGAGTATCCAGTCGGACGGGGAACTCCTTCATTAACTCCTATTGTACATTGGGAACACAGTGAAGAATGGAGAACTGGATGTAGAAATAAATTATCTAGGTATCTAGCCAATGTAAAGGATATTCAAGTGTCTCTCAACACCGACGAATTCAAACAGTATGCTGGAAACAAACTGGGCAGTAGAGTGGTCATACCACCTTCATTGTACCTGGTAAATCTTTCGAAAATGGAAATAGAGGGGTCTGTTCTTATCCGAAACATTTCAATTTTCTAGATGATCGTCTACAATATGTTGAATGACGATTTCCATAGATGCGAAGATTTTGTATTTGAAAATCTTCATTTCAAAAAAGTTCTCAGCATTCCCACAGTCGGTAAGTACGTATTTCGTTATTTTTATGTGTTGTAGTTTGGAAATTGCAGGGTACGTACCCTTGTGCACTATGGTACAGAAGGGCAGTGGTGAATTCGAAGTGATGAGTGAAGATGAGATCATAGTTTCCGGAGTCATCAAAACCCCAGAGACAGGAAGCAAAGTTTTGTTAGAACTACCAACGCTTGAAATTGGCGAGGAAGCTTATCAGCTAAGTTCTAAAGATTTTTATCAGGAATATTATCACAGGGGTTGTCAGTATTCTGGGGTGTACAAATCCATAAAGTCATTAACGATTACGAACGAAGGTTATTTGGCTAATAGTCATAACGATACTGACGCTGTTTTTCTTAATATTTGTTTCTTTTTAAGGTTCTGTTGCTGATGTTAAATGGTGTGATAATTGGGCGATATTTTTCGATTTAATGTTGCAACAGTTCTTCTTTCACGCCGGGGAACGTAAACAAGATATTATGGTTCCCAGCCATATCCAGCGTCTTGCAGTGTCCATTCCTCAGATGCCTAGTTCAGAAGGTACATTAATCATGTACTCATCTTCAGTACGTTCTAATTTCTTTTAATATTCCAGATACAAAGATCAATTTCAATTCATCAACTGGCTTGATTTATTCTGATGGCATTCAGATAAGTGGAGTCAGAGGTGCGTCTCTTCCAAAGCTACGAAAAGCTGTTTTGTACAACTGTGTTGAGTTTGTACCATTTTTCAATAAAGTATACAAGGTAAGAGGAAGTAAAATGTGTTTATAATTATTTACAAATAAGTTATTATTAATCAACTTAGTTCATTTATACAAATACTACAATTAAAATCTGATTTCTTGACCTTTTTCCTGAGAACATTAACCTATTTTTAAATATAAATTGATGGTTTCTTTATGAATAACCTATATACCCGAACGCAGTCTTGAACTAAAAGCGAAATGCAGGATTTTTTGTCCATACAATTTTGATGAAGGCGCCAGGAATATCTCACAAACTCTTTTTCAGACGACGAATTTTAATCTCATTCTTTTAGTCATGGGAAAGTGTGTTTAATTTCACCATTCAGGTCATAAGTTTAACCCCAGGTTACGAGGAGATTAAAAGCCTTTCGGTGGTAGAAGTTACGACTGAAGATGAAAATATTGTTGATAAAATAAAAAGCACGATGACCAAATACAGGGACATTAACGTAAATATTAAACCAAAAATAATTCTAAATAATTTTGTTAGATAAATATTTCAGGCTACGTACTCAATCGTAAGAAGTCTGAAGTCGATTGTAGCTTCGCAAAGCGATCCCTTATTTGTGGTGTTCGATGAAGATTTTGACTCAGACGTAGCCGCTTATCTAGCCGATTCACATGCACTTATACTAACACGATCAAATGAACGAATTGCTTCATATTCACACATAATTGAAGTGTCACGGCTTGAATGTAATAACAGAAATTATTCACTTATAAAAAAGGTAAGTGACACTAACTTTAACTTCCTATATCTTTATTTTTAAAAACAAAAAGTATTAATTCGCAATGATTAAGTTATCACAAACATGCTTTTTCGATCGGACGAAAATCTGATTGATTTTCTACCAACTTTTCTAATAAATAGTAATTCTTCAAAATTTCGTGGTTGGTCTTTTCGTATTATAAACGTATAAATAAATTCTATGCGCCAGGAATGTAATCAGGGTGGACGCCAAGAGATCCAAACTCTTTCTTATCTTCAAGTTAAGAAAGTGAAGGTGTTATTACTTTACTCATTTAATCTGTTTTTAATTCTCATTTAACTGTTTTCTCTAATAAATAATCAATTAATAATCTAATTGTGTAATATACGTAAAAACAACAAATATTATCACATTCGAGATTCCCGTCACTCTCAGATGAAGACAATTTTCTCTAGACTTCATTTTTCAGCAATTTTTTCTGAGAAAAACTCATTAAATTAAACAATACATAAATAAAAAGCAATAAATCTTCGAATTATTTGTCTCTTTGTACATTCTACAGGTTGCGAAGACCACTGCAGTGGTGGTTAATGTCTATGGTGCTACTCTAACATCTAAAGACTTAGCTAAGAATAATATAAAATGGGTAATGCAATTTAGAAGCACTTTGGAAAATCTTCAGCCCAAACAAAGGCTGTACCTGGTTTCAAATGTCAGTCCATACGAAGGTGTCAACAACTTTGTCCGAAACGTTCAAAAACAATTGCGAAATTCAGAATTGTTAAGGTATGGTACTATTTTGATTCGGTAACTTCTAAGTTTATATTTGTTTTATATGTCTAAATTAGGTTCATATTTCTACTTGATAAAGAAAAGGTCACATTTGATGATTCTAAATCGATATTCAAGAGTATACTGAAGCATGACCTGGTTCTTACTGTCATTAGTGATGGTCAGATTGGTAGTTATCTGTCCATTCCTACAGAACTTCGAGAAGAAGCTAAACAAATATTCCATGCCTCCGGGTAGGAACAAAAACAATTAATTTACTAATGGCTGAGATGTATACATCTATAACCGTATAATTCCAGGAATGTTATTTCTAATAAACATATTCGATATATTGGGTTGAATCTGAAAGACGAATCTGTCAACCCTGATAAAGAGCCAGAACTAGGACCCATCGATTATTCTGCCGTAAACAATTCTAATCAACCTATCATGGGCTTAGCGTGCTTTGACAGGAGTTTGTATCAAATAATTCCCGATTCTGTTCTTTGCTGGAATGTGCCTGACGGTTGGAATTTAGACGATGCTGCAGCTGTTCCTTATTCGTACGCCATGGTAGGCAGTTGTTTAATAATTAGGTTGCAAGCCTCTTTTTGGACTATTCTACTGTGGTAAATGATAACTAGGTTGAAAGTTCCGATTCATGAACCACAGCGGATGAGTCTGAAAAGAAATCGTGACGAACAAATGCAAAACCAAAGTCGAGAATTAGATTATTCTCGAGGAGGGGAAATCTTCAACAGACACCTTCTCAGGGGAGGTAGTGGAGGATTTTTACCGACTAAAACCCCTCCTCGAGTGGGGTTACTATCCCCCGAAGACCGTAGCAGCCTCGGCTTCGGCCTCCCGTTCTTGTTCATAGACTTGTCTTTTCAATTATAGCAGTTGCCTTTGTCTTCCAAATGTGCAAGGTCAAAACTTATTTCGCTCATAACCAGAAACAAGTTTACAACAGAGCGAAGGCTACATATAAGTATAACTATAGTGATTTTTTATGCTCTCAGGCTTATCATTGTTTGATGAATAAAGCAAGGGTCTCCCCTGGAGGAAATGTACTAATCCATTCCGCTTGTACTGGTATCGGTTTTGCCTGTGTTTCTATTGCCCTTAGCATTGGATGCAACGTTTTCGTCACGGTGGCTACAGACGAACAGAAGGCCTACATTTCACAGAAATTTCGAAGGGTATGTAGAACAGTCTTATAGATTCGAGAAGTATTTATTGTATTCGAAATATGCCACAAATTAAATCGAAAACATATCAAGAACATTAAAAGCAAGAATTACCTTAAATTATTTANTGGCCTCATCGTATGGCCATTTGTTGCTCAAAGCAAACAAAAACACTAAGAAAGAAGGCCCTTTAGATGATCTTCCACGTTTATTCATAGCTTCCACCAGAACAGAGGAAGCAATACAAAAAATCCTTAGCACGGTAAGCACAACCAGAAAAGAAATAAGAAATAGCAGTGGAAAAGAAATAACATTTTTTTTATCATGTTAATATTAGGTACAAGATCATAAAAATGAAGTCGAATACGCGAACTTGATACAGGAAATTTTTGCAACCCCAATTCCAGGTCATTTATACCGAGGTTATGTTCTCACGGGAAACGAAGTCAGACAAGAATTTTTGGTAAGGTAACTGATTCTATGTATTTAAAACCATAATTCAATTAAATTTTGTAGCATTATCCAGGCAAAAAGCGTCCTGTTTGGTTTGTCTATTCGGGAATGGGTTCTCAGTGGGTATGCATGGCCTCTGATCTCATGCGGATTCCCGTATTTGCCGAATCCATTATGAGAAGTCACGCCATTCTCCAGGAAAAGAACGTTGATCTCCTTAATGTCATCACGACTGACGACCCCAAAATATTCGATAATATTCTTCATTCTTTCATAGGAATCGCAGCTGTACAGGTAAATATTTAAATTAAAGTTGTCCTGGATTTCCAAAAAAAAAGAAATTGGTATCATTCATTCGCATTCTAAAGATACCCGGAGGAGCCTACGTTTTATTGCCTTCAATGCTCCATGTTTGCAGATTGCTTTAACAGATTTACTGAACACCGTGGGGGTGGTACCAGATGGTATAATTGGACATTCGGTAGGTGAAATGGGATGCGCCTATGCTGATGGGTGTTTGACAGCAGAACAGATGATCCTCGCTGCTTATGCAAGAGGAAGAGCGTCCCTAGAAGCCGAACTTATTCCAGGGATGATGGCTGCAGTGGGTTAGTATTAATTGGGGAATGGTCGAACATTCGGCAATGTGAGATCGAAATTTATTTAGGTGCTTTTTTATCAAATCAAGGTTTTTTTATAAATAATCTCAAATTAATCTTTATCAAACCTTATTTTCTACCCCAAATCACCGTATTTACATAATTGTACCTAAAAAGTTCGTCAAAATTTCTACAGGAATTGGGTATCAACAAATCAAGAATCAGTGTCCTCCAACAGTAGAAGTGGCATGCCACAATGGTCCTGAAAGTTGCACCATATCAGGACCAACAAAGGACATGGAAGATTTCGTGGCTCAATTGAAAGAAAGGGGTGTCTTTGCCAGGCTGGTTAATGCTGCAAATATCGCGTATCACAGTAGATACGTAAAACCTACCGCTCCGCTTCTTCTGAAGTATCTCAAGGAGATCATTCCAATTGCATCCCCACGATCTTCAAAATGGATCAGTACGTCTGTACCTGAAGACAGATGGGATTGTGATTTAGCGAAAACTTCTTCAGCTGAGTATCACACAAACAATTTACTTAGTTCAGTTTTATTTGAGGAAGCATCAAAACATATTCCAAAAGACGCCATTGTCATAGAAATAGCTCCCCATGGACTTCTACAAGCTATTCTTAAACGCTCTCTGCCACCAGAATGTACCAACATTGCTTTGACTCAAAGAGGACACAGGAGCAACATGGAATTTTTATTGTCAGCTCTTGGAAGGTATATCCACTTCATCTACTTTTTGACTAGCCCTTTTATGAACATTCGCTTATTATATTTCCAGGCTTTCTTTCCAAAAACTAGCTTTATTTTCTTCTGTTTTCATTTCCCACTTTTAGATTTGCTAAAATATGCTTCACCATTAAATTTATTTGAAAGATATACTTCCTTACAATTAAAGAATGGTTAAATGTTCGTCAGTGCTTCATATTCAACAATTTTTTAGAATGTTCATCAGTGGAGTTGATAATATGAGAGTTTCTGCATTATATCCAAAAGTTGAGTATCCAGTCGGACGGGGAACTCCTTCATTAACTCCTATTGTACATTGGGAACACAGTGAAGAATGGAGAACTGGATGTAGAAATAAATTATCTAGGTATCTAGCCAATGTAAAGGATATTCAAGTGTCTCTCAACACCGACGAATTCAAACAGTATGCTGGAAACAAACTGGGCAGTAGAGTGGTCATACCACCTTCATTGTACCTGGTAAATCTTTCGAAAATGGAAATAGAGGGGTCTGTTCTTATCCGAAACATTTCAATTTTCTAGATGATCGTCTACAATATGTTGAATGACGATTTCCATAGATGCGAAGATTTTGTATTTGAAAATCTTCATTTCAAAAAAGTTCTCAGCATTCCCACAGTCGGTAAGTACGTATTTCGTTATTTTTATGTGTTGTAGTTTGGAAATTGCAGGGTACGTACCCTTGTGCACTATGGTACAGAAGGGCAGTGGTGAATTCGAAGTGATGAGTGAAGATGAGATCATAGTTTCCGGAGTCATCAAAACCCCAGAGACAGGAAGCAAAGTTTTGTTAGAACTACCAACGCTTGAAATTGGCGAGGAAGCTTATCAGCTAAGTTCTAAAGATTTTTATCAGGAATATTATCACAGGGGTTGTCAGTATTCTGGGGTGTACAAATCCATAAAGTCATTAACGATTACGAACGAAGGTTATTTGGCTAATAGTCATAACGATACTGACGCTGTTTTTCTTAATATTTGTTTCTTTTTAAGGTTCTGTTGCTGATGTTAAATGGTGTGATAATTGGGCGATATTTTTCGATTTAATGTTGCAACAGTTCTTCTTTCACGCCGGGGAACGTAAACAAGATATTATGGTTCCAAGCCATATCCAGCGTCTTGCAGTGTCCATTCCTCAGATGCCTAGTTCAGAAGGTACATTAATCATGTACTCATATTCAGTACGTTCTAGTATCTTTTAAAATTCTAGATACAAAGGTAAATTTCAATTCATCAACTGGTCTAATTTATTCTGATGGCATTCAGATTAGTGGAGTCGGAAGTACGTATCTACCGAGGGCACCAAAAGCCGTTTTGTACAACTCTATTGAATTTGTACCATTTTTCAACAAAGAATACAAGGTAATAGAAAATAGAATGTGATCGTTAATAAATTCTTCTGAGGTGACTAATTCTAATCTCATTGTTTTGCAGTCATGGGAAAGTGTGATTAACTTCATCATTCAGATCATATGTTTAGTCTCAGGTTACGAGGATTTTAAAAGCCTTTCGGTGGTAGAAGTTATGTCTGAAGATGAACGTATTGTAGATAAAGTCAAAAGCACGATGACAAAATACGACGACATTAACGTAAATACATAATTATAATAATGCTAATTGTTAATAATTTGTTAAATGAATTTTGAAGGTTACGTATTCAACAGTAGAAAGTCCGAAGTCGATTGTAGCTTCGCTAAGCGATCCCCTATTTGTGGTGTCCGATAAAGAGTTTGACTCGGATATGGCTGATTATCTATCTGATTCACATGCTTTTGTACTAGCACGTTCAAATGAACGAATTGCTTCATATTTACACATAATTGAAGTATCGCGATTTGAATGCAACAACAAAAATTATTCGCTTATCAGAAAGGTAAGTGAAATTGACTATATATAACTTCTTATATCACTACTTTCCAAAGCACAGAAACAAACACAAAAATTAGATACAAACGTATATAACTATGTAATTCGCAATAATTATTTAAGCAAACAGTTTCTTCTGCGATCGGTAAACTACTACTGGCCGCGAAACTTTTTTCTTTAAATGAACAAACAGCAACGAATTATTTGTCTCTTTGTAATTCTACAGGCTGTAAATACCACTGCAATGGTGGTTAATGTCCACGGTAATACTTTAACATCTAACGACTTAGCTAAGAATAATTTACAATGGGTAATGCAATTTAAAAACACTTTGGAAAATCTTCAGCCCAAACAAAGGCTGTACCTGGTTTCAAATGTCAGTCCATACGAAGGTGTCAACAACTTTGTTCGAAACGTTCAAAAGCAATTGCAAAATTCAGAATTGTTAAGGTATGGTACTGTTTTAATTCGGTAACTTCTAAGTTTATTTTTATTTCATGTACCTCAATTAGGTTCATATTTCTACTGGATAAAGAAAAGGCCACATTTGATGATTCTAAGCCCATTTTCAAGAAGATACTAAAACATGACCTGGTTTTTACTGTCATAAGTAATGGTCAGATTGGTAGTTTCCTGTCTATTCCTACAGAACTTCGAGGAGATGCTAAGCAAATATTCTATGCCTCCGGGTAGGAACAAAAACAATTAATTTACTAATGCCTGATAAGTATACACGTATAATTATATAATTCCAGGAATGTTATTTCTAATAAACATATTCGATATATTGGGTTGAATCTGAAAGACGAATCTGTCAACCCTGATAAAGAGCCACAACTAGGGCCTATCGATTATTCTGCCGTAAACAATTATAATCAACCCATCATGGGCTTAGCGTGCTTTGACAGGAGTTTGTATCAAATAATTCCCGATTCTGTTCTTTGCTGGAATGTGCCTGACGGTTGGAATTTAGACGATGCTGCAGCTGTTCCTTATTCGTACGCCATGGTAGGCAGTTGTTTAATAATTAGGTTGCAAGCCTCTTTTTGGACTATTCTACTGTGGTAAATGATAACTAGGTTGAAAGTTCCGATTCATGAACCACAGCGGATGAGTCTGAAAAGAAATCGTGACGAACAAATGCAAAACCAAAGTCGAGAATTAGATTATTCTCGAGGAGGGGAAATCTTCAACAGACACCTTCTCAGGGGAGGTAGTGGAGGATTTTTACCGACTAAAACCCCTCCTCGAGTGGGGTTACTATCCCCCGAAGACCGTAGCAGCCTCGGCTTCGGCCTCCCGTTCTTGTTCATAGACTTGTCTTTTCAATTATAGCAGTTGCCTTTGTCTTCCAAATGTGCAAGGTCAAAACTTATTTCGCTCATAACCAGAAACAAGTTTACAACAGAGCGAAGGCTACATATAAGTATAACTATAGTGATTTTTTATGCTCTCAGGCTTATCATTGTTTGATGAATAAAGCAAGGGTCTCCCCTGGAGGAAATGTACTAATCCATTCCGCTTGTACTGGTATCGGTTTTGCCTGTGTTTCTATTGCCCTTAGCATTGGATGCAACGTTTTCGTCACGGTGGCTACAGACGAACAGAAGGCCTACATTTCACAGAAATTTCGAAGGGTATGTAGAACAGTCTTATAGATTCGAGAAGTATTTATTGTATTCGAAATATGCCACAAATTAAATCGAAAACATATCAAGAACATTAAAAGCAAGAATTACCTTAAATTATTTATAGATTACCTCAAATAAAAGCATTAAGTTACTAAAATCTTTTAACAGTTGACTGAATAGTTTTATTCATCTTATGTTATACTGATAAATCAAATGATCTAAGTACATTAAAATATTTGTTTCCTTTAGCTTACTGATAAGAATGTATACAGTAATGTAACTACGGATTTCGAACCTTTATTCTTGTTAGCAACACAAGGGAAGGGTGCCCAAGTGGTTATTAACAATTTATCGGGAAGATTCTTTGAAGCGTCGTTGAGNGGTGGGTGAATTGGGATGCGCCTATGCTGATGGGTGTTTGACAGCAGAACAGATGATCCTCGCTGCTTATGCAAGAGGAAGAGCGTCCCTAGAAGCCGAACTTATTCCAGGGATGATGGCTGCAGTGGGTTAGTATTAATTGGGGAATGGTCGAACATTCGGCAATGTGAGATCGAAATTTATTTAGGTGCTTTTTTATCAAATCAAGGTTTTTTTATAAATAATCTCAAATTAATCTTTATCAAACCTTATTTTCTACCCCAAATCACCGTATTTACATAATTGTACCTAAAAAGTTCGTCAAAATTTCTACAGGAATTGGGTATCAACAAATCAAGAATCAGTGTCCTCCAACAGTAGAAGTGGCATGCCACAATGGTCCTGAAAGTTGCACCATATCAGGACCAACAAAGGACATGGAAGATTTCGTGGCTCAATTGAAAGAAAGGGGTGTCTTTGCCAGGCTGGTTAATGCTGCAAATATCGCGTATCACAGTAGATACGTAAAACCTACCGCTCCGCTTCTTCTGAAGTATCTCAAGGAGATCATTCCAATTGCATCCCCACGATCTTCAAAATGGATCAGTACGTCTGTACCTGAAGACAGATGGGATTGTGATTTAGCGAAAACTTCTTCAGCGGAGTATCACACAAACAATTTACTTAGTTCAGTTTTATTTGAGGAAGCATCAAAACATATTCCAAAAGACGCCATTGTCATAGAAATAGCTCCCCATGGACTTCTACAAGCTATTCTTAAACGCTCTCTGCCACCAGAATGTACCAACATTGCTTTGACTCAAAGAGGACACAGGAGCAACATGGAATTTTTATTGTCAGCTCTTGGAAGGAAACCCCAACAGTCCAATTTAACAAGGCGCCTAACACTTTTAAAGTCGTTTTATAATGCTGACATCATTCACGCACCATTTAAAGCTCATACCAGAGACTCTGCGATGGAACTCATTTCCGAAGTATTCATGTTAGGTAAATATAAAAAATTACAATGTTTCTCTGAGCAGGCTGAATGGTATCTTTTTTAATTGAAGGCTCCATCCATGCGGTGTTCTTGCTACCAAGTAATTCTGAGAAACTTCGAAATTCTGATATAAAGTCAGTCCAGTACATCGATGCAGCATTAAAAACAAAAGCTCCAAAAGCTTTGTTTGTGAATTTGATGAAAGAGGTCACTGGAATATGTCAGAATAGGTCACAAGCCGGTTTTCCGACGTGCACGGTTGAGTGGCAAAAAGGAATCCAGTTTTCCGATATTCTGGATGATTTGGACGACATCCTCAGTTATCGATTGAATCACATTTACGTCACAAATAACGAAATTAATGAACTGCTTGGAGAAAGCAATCAGATGCTATCCAAAAGTAAGTAAACATTATTTAAACTTTTTTAATAAATGATTGACCCATTTCGTAATAACCAGGTTCATTTATGTTCCAGTTTGTAATTTTGATTTGCATACAAAGATTTTTCTTGGGCCAATTTGTGCTCCTGTCCAGCTCAAGTTTGTTCGTTTACAATTTGTCCTTAAAATAGTTCAAAGACCAATTTACCGAACATTATTCTATATATATTTTCTCCTCAGAGTTGAACAGCATGTTACCTACTACAATCGAGGAGCTACGACTGCAAATTCTTCGGGCTTCTCTGGAGCCCACATTCTTCCAACTGTCATCGATGAGTCCTTTGAAGACTCGCGAGTTGCCACCCGTCTTTATAGTGCCTGGACTGCTCCCAAAGAAATATGTCGAAAATTTAGCCGGCAACCTTCTCAGTCCGGTCTATTGTGCCGACTTTTCAATTAACGACTTAAAAATAAACGACATTTGTCTGTGCCTGGTTGACGTAAGTTACTATTGATTTTGGATAGTCCACGGGTTTCTTATTCGTTAATAATGTCATACATGAAAACACTGCATTGGAATTTTTTAATAGAAAATGGAAAATATTTTACCAAATGGACCCTTTAACATCGTCGCTGTATCGTGGGGTGGTGCTATAGCTACTGAAATAGCAATAACGTTAGAGAAACGAGGTCACACAACCCAATTATACTATTTGGACGGGGCCCCAGAAACCATCCAATCCACGCTTAGGTTATTGGGATCGGGTGTTAAGAAGGAAATTGCATTAGTTATGAGATTCCTAAAGGTTAATGCTGAGGCAAGTTCAATTTTTTTTCTCAAAAATATTTTATCGTGACGATGTTCCATTTAACAAACAGATTCTTAATAAACTGGAGCGATTGGCGAATTGGGATACTCGACTACAGCTTGTGCTAGATTCCTTACAATATGCGAAAGAGGACAAGACATTCCTTACGAAAATACTCACGGTGCTGAAAAATCGAATAGACCAACTTCTCGATTACAAGTTTAACCACGACAAAATGATTACTGGAAGGATCTTTTTGTTGAGGCCTACAGGATCGAGCAAATACGACAACTGTGGTTTGTTAAAGGTACATCAAAAAATTAATTTTTATGCACTTATTTAGTAACGCCTTTAATTAACTTCGTGTTGTAACTCACCCGCAACTTGCCACACCCTGTGAGTAGAATATAAAACTCCTTGGACTTCGCGCCGCATGAATCTCAAAGGTAAACTCCAGGCTCATTAATCATGCACCGTAAGGATTAACGAAGCGAGACTCTCTAAACCGCTTGCCGCGTGCATGTAAGGTAATCTTCGTCGAGACATAAAGTGTAGAGATGCAAGATTTGTCGCGCCCCGTACCGCGTGGTTGTAAAACTCCCCGGGTAACGTGTTGTGTGAATGTAGCGTCAATCATTATCAAAACTCTCAGTCCCCAATACCGTCCAGGTAGAACATTGTCTCGCGATGCAGAATTCGCCACACCCTGTGCCATGTGGATGTACAACTCGCCAAGCATTGTGTCATGTCAACATACGGTAGCCTATGTCAGGAGTCTCAGTGAGAAGCGAGACTCGCCGAGGACTGTGTGTGCTTGGCGGATAAAACGTAAGGTCTAGCTAGATGAGATTCCTGACTGCGTCGGTGCCGACCATCATAAATTTGATTTAATTTTAACATTTATTCAAATTGACTGTTTTATGAAACGTAATTGTTGTTTTCTAATTATGATTCTTTAGTTGCAAAATCCGTCCTTAATTATTACAGCGTTACATTCACAATCGCCTGCTTCTGTATGGTTTAGCTTATATTTTTATTCATGTCACTTCCGCTATATTTTGTTCAGGTATGCTGTTACCTATTAGAGTGACAGTTAGGTCAAGGGAGCGTAGGTGATCCCGTCGATATCCTGTTTTCTGTGAGCCATTTTAGGTAACCTATTTTTACCCTTGTTGACTTTAGTAAATACGCGATGACAGCCCTTTTGTTGTTCATTACTGGAGTTTATAATATTTCATATTTTCTTTTTTGACCAGGTGCTTACAGCAAAGTTTATTTGCGTGCAACTTAAACAGAGTTATCAATAATTAATTTTTGATATCCAATTCTTTACTATTTTTGTTGGGATACATACCTTTTTTCTGCTAAAGGCTAATTTATTCTTGTTTCATATGCATTGTACGTTTCACTCGAGGAGCAATTATTCTATTATAAATGCTTTCTGATACCCGTGCATTAAGTATGGCGTGTCATATTGTCCGGTAAAAAAGGAAGTAATGTTATTGATAGAATATAATTGATAAATAAGTCGAGGACGACATCGTGGTAGTTTAATGGTTGTAGTGGCATATAAATCATGCGTAATTTATTGTCAATTAATCGATATATTGACAATTTTAACTATTAATCGAATCTATTGAAATATTAACGACTGCTTTATACATAGAATTTTTAGGTAGACGTAATATTTCTTCAAATTATATACATTCAAGCCAACTACAATATGATTGTGGAAGCCTTTATAAATATTATTCACGATATTGAGTTACGAAAGTGTCTTGAATACATATAAGACAATTTTAATATTGGTTTCTCCATTTTTTTCTAGATTTGCGACCAAGTAATTAACATACTAATAGTGAAGGGCGATCATACAACTATCCTGCAAAGTCAGGAAACAGCAGATATAATTAATGAACATGTAATATGTTAATTATAAATATAAAATAAAAAAAATGCAATTATAAACATTTTTCATTACAATAACAAATTTAGTTAATTGAGGACAAAGCGATTCTGATGATGTTGGATAAAATATGCTTCCTTAGCTTTGCGGAATTCAAGTTAATCAGTAAACCAAGAGCGTAAGTAGATGAACTCAAAAGTTTAAGCGGATTATTACCACCCCAGACTGCAGACCTTAGATCCGATACATTTACATTCCCTTCACGTATTCTTTCTTTCCGGAAATATTTACTTTTAAAATTTAGAATTTGCTTGAAGCGCAATGTGAAGTTTTGTATAAGTAAAGACATAAAAATATCGGATAAAAATAGACCCGAGTTATAAGAAGGTAAATTGTACTAAAAAGAATAATAGAAATTAAAAAGATAGAATCAGTCTTGTGATCTAAATTTGATGTCAGCTATGATTGTACCCTCAAAGGAACAACTTATAGATCTTTTAAGTTTCATATTGACGAATTTTTACCTAAGCACACAAAAATTTCGTAATGACTCGAGTTATAAAATGAAAACTGTTCAAATTAGTGAACAATGGGGTTGGTTTGACGTCAGCAGAATCACTCTCTTCGAATTGAATTATTAACAACCTTGTAATTTACTGGGAACTCGAAACCCTGTTTTGTATTTATCACTTGTAGAAAATCTATACCTCGTTGACAACAACATCAAATAATTACCCGAATTAAAAATTGACGTTTAACAGCAGTATGTAGTCGTTTTAGCGTTCTTTTCTTCCAAATTTTGTTCACATTTTACCTTGTTTTTTGTTATATTCCCTGAAGGTTAAGCCAAACCGAAATATACATATTATATGAAATTCTTTTTTCTTTTTTACACTTTCTGCACCTGTACTGCCGAAGCGGTGTCATTTTATATACCTAGACTGGTATCTGTGGATGCCTTAATGGTCCCGAGGGAGCACAACTTCGTTATTTCTCCTGCATTACCTACTGTTTTTAGAAAAACAACGACGATCTCCTAAATCCCATGGCACTACATCTAAAAACATGGGCTCGAACTGTATTGATTTTATTTACCTTATCCAGCATAACATATTTCAATGTATTTTATCCTGTATATCACTCACGAAACTACAATAATCTAAATGAAGCATGAAGCTGGTACAGTTAATCTGAAGTACTAAAAGCAGCTATTTTTGCTTATATTAAGCTTTTGCAGACATAAACTTCTTATTAAAAATACGATTTTATTGGCGACTTTTGGACTTGAACTCAAAGCCTTTCAAATAAAATTTTAATGAAGCTCGCGCCATGTTTAAAGTCCAAAAACTGCCGTATCAATAAGAAGTCTGCTATCAATACATCTACAAAGAAGGGCGCGGCGTGAGATCAGTCTTACAGTATAGATTCCTGAAGATTACTGTGGCACAGCGAAACATCTAGAATAAACCCTTCATTAAGAGGACGACCTTTAAACTTAAAAACCAAGACAAAGATCGCTGATCTATTCACAAATAAGACTTCTACTTATTGTTAGATATATTTTGTTTTATTTTATGTTTGTTATTAGTTAGACAGCGGGCATTTATTTGGCCATTTTCGTTTGTAATAAAAGCGTTGTGTGAGAAGCCTTCTTTTGTTATTATCATTACCATCGCCATCATAGGGTGGTTTGGTCGTCCGCGTCGCGACGCTTACCGTGTATTGCACGATACACACATGCATACGGTGTACCTAGGGCACAGCGCCAGCGCGCCGAGTCGACCTTTGGTGGGTTCGTCATCGGCGTCGTCGGTGGCGTCGCCGTTCGCCGTCGCCGCCGTCGTCGTTGCCCGCAGTCACGGCTTCCTAGATTAGGATTCCTTGTCTTCCGATCGGCATTGCGACGCGAATACGTCCGTTGAATTGACCTAGTGCGTGACGGGAGATTTTCTTTTTTGAAATTCGCGCCACGGGTTCATGCTAATAATAACGGTACTACAACTTCCATGGCATACTACCCGTCTTGTGTCGTCTTTATCGCCAGTGATATGTGACAAAACACCCTGTCGATAAAAAGTCACAAGTTAGTTTGTAAATGATGTCATCAAGTAAGTTTACCACACAAAGGGTATTTGAAAAGAGACGGCTGTGACCGTTTCCTTTTTTTTTTATCTTCGCTTTAGTAACAATCGGAAACAACGGACGATGTCGGTTATATTCTGATCGATAATAGTTTCAATGCGGTATTTTCTTTAGGGCACAACAATTTTTCTCTATAACGAACTAGTTTAACGTTCAAAGACCGGACAGAAACAATGGAAAACGCAAACGAGAAAGTTTTCGTAATTTTTTTGGTAATATGTTTTAAAAAGTTCGGACATTTTGCATCTTGATTTTATACAAATTATATTGGCGATAAACCGAAATTAAACATAGTAAAACTTATAGTTGTAATTCTACATTTAATTTTTTGGCTTTCTGAAGCTTCTCAAAATATTTTATGACTGATGATGCGTGTTTGTCAAAAGCGATTGTCTACTAAACACGAACGCCAGCAAAGTACAATTATTCACGCTTAATTTTTTTTCTTTTGGAATATTCGTAATATTTCTTCAAATTATATACATTCAAGCCAACTACAATATGATTGTGGAAGCCTTTATAAATATTATTCACGATATTGAGTTACGAAAGTGTCTTGAATACATATAAGACAATTTTAATATTGGTTTCTCCATTTTTTTCTAGATTTGCGACCAAGTAATTAACATACTAATAGTGAAGGGCGATCATACAACTATCCTGCAAAGTCAGGAAACAGCAGATATAATTAATGAACTTTTTCTTGGGCCAATTTGTGCTCCTGTCCAGCTCAAGTTTGTTCGTTTACAATTTGTCCTTAAAATAGTTCAAAGACCAATTTACCGAACATTATTCTATATATATTTTCTCCTCAGAGTTGAACAGCATGTTACCTACTACAATCGAGGAGCTACGACTGCAAGTTCTTCGGGCTTCTCTGGAGCCCACATTCTTCCAACTGTCATCGATGAGTCCTTTGAAGACTCGCGAGTTGCCACCCGTCTTTATAGTGCCTGGACTGCTTCCAAAGAAATATGTCGAAAATTTAGCCGGCAACCTCCTCAGTCCGGTCTATTGTGCCGACTTTTCAATTAACGACTTAAAAATAAACGACATTTGTCTGTGCCTGGTTGACGTAAGTTACTATTGATTTTGGATAGTCCACGGGTTTCTTATTCGTTAATAATGTCATACATGAAAACACTGCATTGGAATTTTTTAATAGAAAATGGAAAATATTTTACCAAATGGACCCTTTAACATCGTCGCTGTATCGTGGGGTGGTGCTATAGCTACTGAAATAGCAATAACGTTAGAGAAACGAGGTCACACAACCCAATTATACTATTTGGACGGGGCCCCAGAAACCATCCAATCCACGCTTAGGTTATTGGGATCGGGTGTTAAGAAGGAAATTGCATTAGTTATGAGATTCCTAAAGGTTAATGCTGAGGCAAGTTCAATTTTTTTTCTCAAAAATATTTTATCGTGACGATGTTCCATTTAACAAACAGATTCTTAATAAACTGGAGCGATTGGCGAATTGGGATACTCGACTACAGCTTGTGCTAGATTCCTTACAATATGCGAAAGAGGACAAGACATTCCTTACGAAAATACTCACGGTGCTGAAAAATCGANGTCATTAACTACTGCATTACTTTTCGCAAAAAGATCAATAAAATTCAGTATAATAAAAATAACTTTCCAATAATTTTACAAATTTTTTCCTGAACCACTACAGTTTTATGACTTAATAAAGATCTTTCATCGGCTATTCTATCTTTAACAACCTAATTAGAAAATTCTGTCCAAGTTATCCCACTAGTTTTATGTCATAATATGTACTGGTTATTTTTTCTTTAAGATTTTCTATTTCAGGATTAACGATGCCATCATAATAATGCAGTTGGTTAACTATACGAACAAAATACTTCCCTTGACGCTATTATTAGAAGCAAAATTTTAAAGGATAACAAAAACTACTATGTTTAAACAAAAACCAGCCTCACCCAAAACTATTTTTTTAGACGGTTACAATAAATTACAAAATAAAAATTGATGTGCGACCATAAAAATTATTACAAATCATTTCAGATTCAAAACACATAAGAATAATTAACAAGCGTAGGTACCCACTGCTCATTATAAATACACATATGTATTTTATGGCTTGAACTAGCGAGGCATATTTGGCACAATATTTATTTATAACTTTCGCATACACATGCCAGGGTCTTAGCACAAGGCACCAAATTGCAATAAATAACAATAGCATTGCAACACTTATTGCTATTTTCAAAGTTATCTATGAATATATATGCAATATGTACTGCAATTCTACTACTCTAATATGCAATCCATTATTAGCTCCATGTTTGTAGAGAATAACCATCTACAGGACGATGTTAGTATTCTAAATGCATTTAATGTAAAGTATATACCGAGTGTATGTTATGACAGAAAGTCGTCGGACTTTGGTAATGAGTAAAATTGGCCTCACTCTTGAGTTGTAGTACTAGCAATTAGAAGGTCAAAATCACGCTTCATTTAAGATTAAGGTCGGGCGATTTTATTAAATTTAACAATGGATTAATGGGATAATTTGACCTGTTTCGATTAGGATGACCAAGGCTCCATCAAGAGAAGGAATTAGATAAGGATTTTACCAATTAAAAATAAATATGACAAGTTCTCGGAGAGTATTCTTTTGAAACTTTCCGACGTCGAACTAGATTTAGGATTTGTTCTCCTCAGCACGCACTCCATAGATAGTTCTGTCAGGATACCAAGTCTAGTGAATCTCAAGGAGGTTGACACCAAAGGTTTCTGTCTCCTTCTGTACGAAGAAAAGCGATCTTACTATTTTGACTACAACTTTTTTGAAAAGGATTCTAATTCAACAATTGATTGTTGAGCAAAAATAGGTACTTAAACTGAGTTTTTGAAAGTCACATTGTTTTCCAAACAAAAAAAAATCAATTTTGGCACTTACATGGCAACAGGTTTTTAAAAAACGTGTAATCGTACAGAAGGAGTTTCATACACCACTTCAGCCTTGACTTGGAGTGCCATTGTCTTCAGACTAAAACACTAGAAGTTGAAAATGGTGTACAAAGACGAAGGTGAAAATCGAAAAACGACCTATGAACTCAACATGTATGAAGCAAGGAGAATTAAAGTAGGTTATGTGAGAAAATAGCTAATTTAGTAGATAATAACCATGATTATAGGTACAGACATCGAGCGAACACGCGATCTGTAGAAAATTTTCTAAGGGACTGTCTTCGGCGTGCTGATGAGATTCAATGTAATCGAAATCGCGATTCATATTCAACAGTTTCGTTAACATATTTGCCACCAAAAAATTTTTAATATATCTTAAACAATGTTCAATCAGATTACAATTGACAAATGACGCCATATCTACCTTTAGTTGTCTATCAACAATTCAAACTTTGGAAATTTTTACGGGGGTGGGGGGGTTTAGAAGAAGGTGAACAATTATAACTATCCGCGTAAGTTAAATTGTACTTAATGACTTTAAATAAATAAATTGTATCAAAATGTAATGGTTATTTAATTACATTTATGTCGATAGACAAACAGACAGAAAAGCGAAACGAAAAAATTGATTGGGATACATAAAACATGCATTTATTTCCAGTAATAGAAAAGCCAATTGTACCTATGGTTTCAGGTGTTGTAATAAATAACTAATAGGGAGACATTTTCATGAAAAATCCAGTAGCTGTTTCTAAATTTGCTCCAGTACAGAATAAGAGTACGTATATAGGTACATTTAAGGACCTTTAAAATCTACAATTGAATGATGGTTGTCCATCATCCAATTTTTCATATTATCATAACCATATACGTAACTAAAATATGTATTTTAAATAAAGAACCACAGGAAGAGCGTCTTAAGTAATTTAACAATATAAATACTTATTATAAAATGAATTATTACAATTGTTTCGACCTACAGGTCCTCTAATAACAACACGTAGGACAAAGCAATTGTATCGTATATTATTTTGTTGTTGTTGTTGTTGTTAATTATTCGATGCAATATAAAACAAACAATACAACTAACGATAAAATTGCAAAATTTCATTAAACCGCACCTTTCAATATTTACTTTTATTAGTACTTCTTCTATTAACTATTATGCAAACTAGTCCTGCAGGCAAATGATATTTTAAAATATTGTATTAATTTTTCTTACACTTTTTTACAAAAAATAATATAATACAACATCTGCATGCTTTACAAGCTCTGTATTTATGTATCACACTGTTGTAAAGCTCTTTTGTTGCAAGCTTTGTAGGTACTAAATGTAGGTAAGTTATCGATCGCGTTCCACATTCAATGACGCAACGTAAGAATTAACTATAAAATATAAATGCTATGAACTAATTGCATTCATTATTAAAGTATACATGGATGTTAGGATTAACTGCAAAGTAAAACTTTACTTTTTTAATCGACTACTGCAGTAGGCACATTTGCTATTTAAGACGTTTAGGTAGTATGTAGTAGGAGTATGTTTTTCTTCCATTTCATCCTTATAAAATAAATACACAAAGTGGAAAATTAAATCCACTTTTTAGGCAAGGAATGGAGACAAAAATACAATAGTAATTCCCATTTAGTAAATTAGAAAAACCGATTAGTTTTATATCCCTTTAAAACGTTTTAGTTGCTACTATCAACTACCTCTGTATAGCATGAAAATTTATTTGTAATAATCTTATGAAAGACAGTTAGAATTNTTACCACATTATCAAACTTTCCCTTGCTTTGTAATTTACTTGGGTCTCCAGTTTACAAACTTCTTTTGAAATATTAATGACGTAAATAGGGTAAATCCTGCCCGAAAAGGACTTCATATGCCTCCCTGGCATTAATTAGGATGACTGATTGCCCTGAGGTACATTTTGTATTAATTTAGATTAGTTTTAATTATTTAATGCAACAAACATTGCTTTCACAGCAAAAATATTATCTAATGAAAATCCCTTAATGAAGAATTTTGCTTCTTTCATTTAATGAACTAAGTTATTAGGGTATTAGGGGGTAACTGTGCGAGCAGCGCCTTGTCAAATTAAAAAACGAACCATTTGTTATATTAATTTAATGAAATTAAATTAAAATACGATACTTGTAACTTTTTAAATTTTGGTGGAGGCGCAAGACATTTTAAATTTAACAGCAGTATACACGAAATGCTTTAAAATTATCCAAACTCTGAGATATCTTAAATTACATCTAAAGCAACTCGTTAAAGAGAACGAAATGAGAAAATATCCATTTAAAAATTAAATTATTGTACGCCAGATATAAACATTTTCAGTTAAGGTAGCAGCGACCCTCGAGAAATTTCTCTAAGAATTTGATTATCAACCATGCGATAAATTTTCATATTTCACTAACACTGAAGGAATTTAGTTTAAAATTGCAACAATTACTTTCATCGGCAAGTAGACATACTGCGATAATTTTTTCAAACTTTTTCGATCACCAATTCGATTGAGACTACGAAAAAAATTATCTGCAGGCTAGTATACAACAGATATTTTTAAGTACTTTCTCATTATCTTTGATTTTTTTATAAGTAAATATATAATGTTATTCATATTTAAAAGAGTGCCAACACTTTTTAGTAGTATCATCACAGTCAATCGACAGAAAATACAGGATTTAGTTTGTTTTGAGTGTCCTTTATTTTGCATTAGTGAAACCATAAGCTACATTTTATTATAAATATTTGGATTTAAAGAATACTAAGGTAATTTCAGAATTATTTCGAATTAAATTGTTTAAGTTAAATGTAGTTACTTCAATGGACACGAAGGCTTCAATGTTTAACAGTTGCGATTCAGGATAGTTTACATAGTACCTACAGGATGCATAATTTCAAAAAAATTCTAAAGGCTAAACGGATTTACAATTTATCTTTGCTCAAAAGTTCTAACATCGTGTTAGTTTCCAGGCCTTAAAGCTCTAAATATATTTTCTTGTCAGATTATCCTTATTTTAGTATTTAAGGATTATATGTAGATATACAGTGCATTTTCTTGTCCATGATTTCCACTATACCTATACTAAAAAGCTTGTCAAAAACTTTACTCTACATTGTCAGTCTGTAATCGCTCATACCCCACCAGGATATTTACATTTTTGGCATTGTTTCAGGGTTGGTTAGGATCAGGGCAAGAATGAATCAATAGCGAAAGACAGCAAGCGCTAAGTTTACTAGGTATGCTTGGCACCGCTGATTGATAATGGTAAGTATGACGAAGTCACCTGACAATTTTAATTCCTAATAATTTGTTAATTTTTTTATAATCTCTATTAAAGGTTAAACATAATTTGTCTACTTTACTGTCTCATTTGTATATAACATGTAAGCCTACATGTAATTACATTTTTATAAGGGGTAATTAAATTGCTCATTAGTTTGTGTTACGAGAATTAGCCTCCAATTATTTGAACGATTAAAAGTTTTTAGTACCGTTCGTAGATTATTATTGAAACATGCACAAATAATGACTGATAAAATTATATCTAAGGTCTTTGATTCGTTTAGACAAACAAACAAGCGCTTTGTTACTAAATAGAGCCAAGAAAAATAGAATAAACTGGGGGTACAATAACCTAACATAGCTCTATAACAAAATATTTGCATTTGTTTCTATCGGATATTATTATTATCAAAGAAATAGCGAATTACAAAAGATTTAATTCCTAAAATTTATAATAACTTATAACCTATAATAATTACACACTATTACCTATCAATTAATCCAATCCTTTCAAATATTAATTATTATTTATTGTGGTAGATTTTTTTTTATGAAAAAATTAATTAAAATATCTTACACCTTAAAGATCGATTACTTTTATCATAATCATTACGTTTTTTCCAAGCCTAAAGATTATAAAGAACAGACAGAACAAACCTTTTGAGTACATTTTGTTTATTTTCTCATCTATTTCACTTAGGGTTATCGGTTGATTGAGAGCTTGCGCTTATCTCCTTCTGCCTATCGATATACACGTGGAAAAATAATTATGATTTCCCAAGTTTGGAAATCTTAAGTCATATTCATAAGAAGATGTATTGTCTATTGAACGTATATTTAGCTGATAAGGTAAATGATAAGTAAAACAAAGAATATTAAGTTCATTTTCAGAAATTTATTGCAACTAGGCCTTTTTGTTGTCAACTCCAATCTAAATTTCTATAACTCTCCCAGGATAACCAAAGGCTTGTTTTCTATTCGACGGTTACTTTATGATTCCTGGTCCCTAGTTGTTAACCCTTTGAATTACCACATTATCAAACTTTCCCTTGCTTTGTAATTTACTTGGGTCTCCAGTTTACAAACTTCTTTTGAAATATTAATGACGTAAATAGGGTAAATCCTGCCCGAAAAGGACTTCATATGCCTCCCTGGCATTAATTAGGATGACTGATTGCCCTGAGGTACATTTTGTATTAATTTAGATTAGTTTTAATTATTTAATGCAACAAACATTGCTTTCACAGCAAAAATATTATCTAATGAAAATCCCTTAATGAAGAATTTTGCTTCTTTCATTTAATGAACTAAGTTATTAGGGTATTAGGGGGTAACTGTGCGAGCAGCGCCTTGTCAAATTAAAAAAAAAAAAGATGTTTTAATTTTCTGGAATCAATTCTGTTTCAAGGAATTATTTAATGGCCGATTATTATTAACAAAAGATAATATAAATATACAAATAAATGGACTTAGTGTGGTTCCAACATGTGTTATTTTCTGTAGGACTTTGAATTTAGATCAATTGAAATTTCATTTCTTTTATTTTCGTGGACATTGAGTAGGTACTAATGAATGACGAAAACGACAAGGGGGAATCCAAGAAGTCTCTATAAGAGTTGTCTCAGTTCAAAAGGAGGTAAAATTGTAGGTCAAATAAGAAGTCGCTTATAATGCAATCTACAAATGGGAGTAAAATGATTTAAACATCTAATTATAGTGTTGTTTCTTTGAGTAGTCATAGCTACGGCAGTCACGAACTGGCGGAGTCCTAGAATTTCTATATCGATCGCACTTTTCGCGCCAAGCTGTCGCCACAATTCAATATATATTTTTTTTGCACTTTATTAACATCTGCAGTTTGTTAGGTCCTCATTTGAAATTTTAATTCCTGTTTATGCATGATTTTAATGATTTACGCATTTAATTAAAACCTACTGTTAAATGTAGTTTTATTTTCCTATTACTACCAGGATCAGTGGTGTAAAATATTGACCTTGTCCTAATTTATTTCTGAATGTACATACTCCTACTGTAACTACATAAACTTCTTCTTTTGTTTCTTCTACTTTTACGTTCCACGATGCCTAAGTTTACCGAACGTTTGGTAGAACCAACATAGATCAAGGAAATCTCACGTAAATATTAGGAAGGGAGTCAGACAGGGATGCACAATGTCACCGCTACTTTTTAATCTATACATCGAAGACGCCACCAACATCATTAAAGGCAGTACAACTGTAGGGATAGATGTGCAAGGGCAAAAGATTAGTATGCTTAGATTTGCAGATGATATAGCAGTATTAGCATCTAGCAAGGAGGACCTAGAGATAGCTTTAAATAAAATGGAAGCGGTACTGACAGATCAGTACTGTATGAAAATAAATAAAAGTAAAACTAAAATACTGATATGCAAGGGAAGAAAAAGTAGGGAAAGAGCGAATATAAAGATAGGAGACGAAAAATTAGAAGAAGTGGCTGATTTTAGATACCTAGGAAGTCAGATAAGTGAGGATGGAAGGAGTAGTAGGGATATAAAGCAGAGGATAGCGCAGGGTCGTGTCGCCTTTAATAAAAAGAAGTCACTTCTATGCTCGCGAACGGTTAATTTAGAAATTCGAAAAAGGTTGTTAAAGGTGTATGTTTGGAGCACGGCGTTGTACGGGTGCGAAACATGGACAGTGGGAGCGGCGGAAAAGAAAAGGTTAGAAGCGTTCGAAATGTGGTGTTATAGGCGGATGATGAGGATATCGTGGGTAGAAAAGGTTAGAAATGAAGAGGTATTGGAAAGAATAGGAGAACAGAGGACTCTATGGAAGTCAATAAAAAATAGGCGAGATAGGTTGGTAGGACACCTTCTTAGGCATGAAGGTCTAGTCAGAGACATATTAGAGGCAGAAACAGGAGTTAGGAGGGGTAGTGGTGGACCTAGATTAGATTACTGTTCGCAAATAGTTAAGGATGCGGGATGTTCTAGTTTTAGGGAAATGCGAAGTTTAGCTCAGGATAGGAAAGAGTGGAGGTACGTGTCCAACTAGTCTTAGGACTGACGACTTTATGATGATGATGATATTGATTAATGTAATATCTAATTATGAGTTATGGAACTATTTTTGATAGAACCCTTGCACGTATTATGTAGGTATGTCAGTAAATCGTAAAATTTTAATTGTTATTTTAAGAAACCACATTATAATTGTATCAGATTGGATCTTTTATGTTTACATATATTTCTTGAGGTATTTTTTGTACCAATGTAGGTACACCGAACACGAAATCGCAAATTGCACATTTAACTAACGAATCCTCTCGTTGTATGTAATTAATTAAGACACTTTAGCTTTCTAATTAACAACTTTTCATCAAGAAAATTATTTACGAGATCTAATTCAGAATACCTCTATGCGCAACAATTTAAATGGCGCATTTCTTCCTACCGATTCCAGTGAATTGCACATTGCATTTTAACTGGAACTATAAAATTTTGCTGACGTAAATGCCATTTTGCTTCAAACTGATTTCGACTTACTTTACGACTTATTTCCGTAAAAGGGTGTCAGCTTTAATAAATGCAAGTGACTGCAATCAAACTACAATTGATATGTTTGCTGAGGGAGATAATTTACACCCTTATGAGTTATATATCACATTATTTATCGTAGGATTTTCAGCCCTCAAACTACTTAGACATGCACCTTCAGTCCATTCTATTTTGCGAACAGTAATTATCTTAACCTCTCTTAACTCCCGTTTCTGCTTCTAATATGTCTCTAATTAGCCCTTCATGTCTGAAGTAATCTCTCCCGCCAATTGACTTCTATTGAACCCTTTGTTCTCCTACTTTTTCTAATATTTCCTTATTTCTAACCTTATTATTGAAGCTTTTTTTAACATATTCCTATAGTAAAACATTTTAAACACGTCAAATTTTCAGCAGTGCCCACCGTCCACGTTCAAACACACTTTTAATAATCTTTTTCAAATTTCTAGATTAACCGATCCTGAGCGCAAAAGTGATTTCTTTTTATTAAAAGAAATCCGATCATGCGCTTTTCTTTGTTTTATATTTCTACAGATTTTTCATTTTTTTTTCTTTATGAAATTAAGGACAATTTTTCTGTAATCCTTTATTCGCCTGGGGGAAAAAGGTATTGCAAAAATGTATGAAATTTATCGATCTGGGCAACCCTTATCAAGTAAATAAAAATATTTAATTTTACTAAGTGTGGCTAAGTGTAAATGGCTGCCGAAAAGTTTGAAAGCACTCAGAGTAATAAGAAGAAAAAATAGATGTACTGTACGTAATTGCTTAAGTGTTACATTTGGCGCTGAATTACCAAAAAGGCTACGGAAGCACCAGATAATGGGTTCATATCTTTCGGTTACCCCATGATAAACGTGATACAATCTAGAAAGAAAATTATGCCCTAACTTTCATAACTTTTAACGAGTACATGTATGCAAGTATATTTATATATATTTATATGGATCCTTAAAACTTTTTCATGGTACTATAGGTATCTAAAACATATGCTAAAAGAGTAGCATTTCTTTGTAACCCAGATAAAAATCAATAGGTAGGTAAGACTGAGTGGAGTGTAAAGTTCAAAAAGACGTGAAAGAAACTGTAAATTTGTGATGTAGAAGTACCCATTAGAGTTTCTTCTTTCATATGAAAGTAGCTTCTGCTTTTCGCGTTTTTAACCGTAAATTACATGCAAAAAACAACATGCTGCTTCTTTTTCCAACGGGAATGAAACTGCGAGTTTAAAGTGTAAATTACCTCCGTGTTGAAATTGATCTTTCTGGTGCATTCACATTTCGTAAAAGCAAAGTTATTTCTCCTAGGGTACGAAGATTTAAAAGTCTACGTATTTTGAGATATGTTCTGTACTGTTTCTTGTTTACATTTTATTGAAACCAAACGTTATTTTTCAATTTGTTTAAAATTTTACAAATAAGGCTTGATTCACACTATCTGTCAGAAGCCGTCCGTCAGTTTTTCGGAAATTTTTTAGGTTAGCAGGTTTTCGTGGCAATGTTTAAAAAATATTCGCTTATTAATTTAGCAGTTACTACCCTTTTACTGGAAAAAGAAGATGAGAAACAAGCGAAACGGGAAAATAAAATATTATCATTACTGTCACTATAATATCTTTCATTTAAAATGTATAAACACTCATAAGTTTGTAGATACTAAAAGAATTAATTTTTAGTCCTTTTTGCTTACTAAAAAAGCCCCTTTTTTGCTGGGTACCTAACGGATTGAATGTATTCCTAACGAAGTGAAAATCAAGCTTTAAGTGAATAATAGTGATCAATAATCTTAAAGTTGTCTTCTGCATTAAAACGTTTTTTTTTTTGTTGTATTTTTACAAAAGTAAATTGCATCATCATCAACATTTCGAAATAATTAATTTCATGACTCATTCAAGTCGGTAAATACTTATAAAGGTAATAAGAAAAAAGATAGATGGCTTCGTACAACACAAACTTACATTTTCGATACAGCTACATATAAATACATCTACTTTTTTCTTATTAAGATTATCGTGAGTACCTGACTTAATTAATTGCTGTAAAAACGGTATTATTACCATACCCGCGAATACGCATTAGCACCAGATTAAGCCCCCCTAGCAACCAGCTAATAATTTTGAATATCGTAGTTGTCGACACACCTAAAAAATTAAGTATACCATTACTCAAATAGTTCCTTGTTTGACGACGATGTATGTTCTTATATGAAGAGGAATGATTATTTACCAGGTCCTTCATTAGAGAATATTGTAAAACATACACAAAAACTATTAACGTCACGTCTGTATTATTATGCATGAAGAAAAACGTTCCAATCAAGGTTATCTATTTTGTATTGTAATTTTCCTATTGGAACAGTTTAGGTTGTTACCCATGTTTTCAACCAACTTCAAAAATTGAGGTTTCCAATTTGATTGTATTTCTCTAATTCTTAGTCAATTGTGAACCGATTTTTGGATGGGCTATATCTCAAGGGTGGTCCCATTTAAATTCGAAAAAAATATTCCACCTGTAAGGGGAAAAAGCTACTTGAAGAGGTTACCAAACTGGTCATTTCCGTCTTATATTTATCCTGATGGAGGCTACATCTCCAGTGTGGTCCAGTTTGTACTTGTTAACTTTTTAGTTTAAGAAAATCGTACAAATGGCGCAGTAAACGCCATCTGTATCACGATGCTACATCTTTTGTTTAAGTTTGTGCACAATAGGCAAAGTATTGATGTCGATTTTTCTTACGTCAGTTATAAGAAATCTAATGCAAAAAAGTGTTGATGACAGGATTTTTTTATCAGCCCCTCAAATCAATTTCTAAATAAAGAAAATTGATGAAAACCACAATAACGCGAATATTTATATTATATATAGGTACTAATTTTCAGTAAGAAATCTTCGTCGATTGCAAACAAAAAAAATCTAAACTTATAAAAACAAATCTTCAGTTATTTTTTGTTTATTCGCATCCACTAGACTGACACGTGAAGGATAATCTAAATTTCCTAATGCAAATTATTTTAGCATTGTAATTCAGCCTCGCTGTACGTCTAAATGAAGACAATTGCAATTTTGCAGTGTGATATCTGCCTGATAAAAGAACTAACTATTCTAATGGTTGTTACATAGGTATATTTACGTATTTTTGCATTTTATGGGTATCGCATTGGCCCACATTCGTATGCAGTCTTCGCCATTACAGCCGTTTATGCTTCCAAAGTACATCGTAGGTGTATTATTTAAACGGATGCAAGGATTTACTGTTTTAATAAAGGCAGAAATCTTCTCTAATACAGCAATTCGTAAACAAAGCAAACATAAAACCAACTATAAATCTCTGTTTATCATGTTAACGATTCAGCATTTTTCCTAATGTTTGGAAATAATTCCCTAGCGTTCCTTTAGTGAATCATTTTTCACGGAAATTTTCAATTTTCACTGAGATGCAGCCTTTGATGAATAATACAATAAACAGAACAACGATTTGCTCGTTTTATGTAGGTGTGCCATCTCAGGGATTTCCTATCCAATATTTGCAAAAGAAAAATAGAATGAAATAGAACCGATAGCAAGACTTTGAACTATATATATATTCCAGGAATATTGTTACTGTATTTTTCATTTTTACGATCGGTATTTTCTCTTTTCAAAGAACTCTTCCTGTTCTAGTACCTTCGTTTTTATTTCTTAACAAAAATAGTTAGATAGATACTTAACATTGAATTCAATGTTTATATGTGTAGCTATGACATGTTCGTTGAGTTAAGATTTATTTCATTTAAAATGTTTTTAAACAGGAAGGAAGTAATAGCCTCGAAGCAATAGAGTCCATAAGCAGTTTGGTCTGTTAGTATGTTAGAGGTCAGTTTTGTAGGTATAAAGTTGCATATTAAGAAAGTTTTTTTTTCGAATTGGTGACCCCCATGCAGTTTTATTAATTTCTATTGCAGGTCGTCTGCTTTACGGTTATAGAATTAAAATAATAGATACGTGAACTTCAGTATGAGATACGTTTAAAAAAATAAGTGAAATTAATTATCTGCATAACCTTGGCTCCAAAAAATGAAACTGTTTTCTCATTGTGGTACCCATTATAGCGAAATATACTTCTTATAATTGTTCTTTGGTTGCAATGTCCTTGCAAAACAAAAACATACCTTTGACTACTTTATCTCAAAGTATATGACAAAAATAATAAATAATTTGGAAGATAATTTTTTTATGGATTTACTTATATTTATTTCATTTTCGTACTACCTATTTGCAAGCGGTTCTTTTGTAATATGAAAACGTTAATTAAAATAATTAAACAGAAGAGTGCGAGATGAATGCTGGATTAACAGCGGCGTGCAATAAACCAACCGAAAATTAACTTTGACTTTAATTAGGTGCAATACGACTACAAAACTTTGCCTATTCCAATTTCGGTTCTTGATACAAAGAAAACCCTTCCTTTAGGAAAAGTGTATCTGTTAATGAACTAATTGGTAATTTATTCAACAATTTTATTTCAGCTTCTCGATTATAGTAAAGTTAATAAACTTATTGTTTATAGGCACTTATTTTCAATGTATTATTTATTAGCTATCATGCAACAAAAAGCTTCTATCTATAGCCATAAAACTTGACGACATTTTTAGGGTATTGCTTCTGCTACTGCGTTGTGTGAAATCAGTTTTCTGTCACAATCACTTAGGGGGTGACTCAGGGCTGAATATGTATCCATGCAATACAAACATTTAAGCCACTATAAACAGTTCTTCAAGTGAACAAAAATTTCTACTACACAAAAAGCAAAAACCCATTGAATATTAGCGGTTACATTAATTAAGTATTTGTTATTTGATGAATTTCAACAAAGTAAATTTTATAACTAAATTCTTTACGATTTAGTACCTATCTGACTATTTTCCAAACATAAAATACGATTTAAATATTATTTTCCACACAATTTGTTTCTGTATTTACGGCAGTATTCAGTTACTCAATTATCGTCATCTCTCTTCCTGGAAAATATCAAAACAAGCAGGTGCAATAAACACAAAGAAGTGGAACTTGATATGCAGGCCGGATATACAGCATGTAAATGTGTATAAACCCTTGACTTTAACAGCGGAATTTTTTCAGATCTATTGTGAAAATTTATTCGAAAAATTTTCCTCATGAACTCCTAACGCTGTCTCACATTATTTGTTTATAGCGTTTTTTCTTATTGGCAAGCTTCTTATGCAGCAACTTTAGTAGTACGTAATATCGACACAATATACGCAAAAAAAACAATAATTAAGATCGATTAAACACAGGTAGATATACATAGTACCTGTAATACGAGGGTGGATTGATAAGTTTCCGGCCTGACCAAGAAAAACAAGGTTTTTAAAAATTTTTTTTTTTTATTTCTCAACATAATCTCCTCCAAGGCTGATACATTTCTCATAGCGGTGTTCCAGTCTATTAATGCCATCTCTATAGACTGATTCGTCAAGCTCCTCAAAATAACCATTTACAGCTTCGATTACTTCTTCATTGTCCGCAAATCTCTTACCGCCAAGCCATTTTTTGAGATTAGGGAACAGAAAATAGTCACTCGGGGCTAGGTCTGGAGAGTAAGGAGGGTGCGGCATCAATCACACGTTCATATGACATCTTACAGGTCTCAGCTATCTCACGCACTTTCAATCTGCGGTCTCCCAGCACTATTTGATGAATTTTTTCGATCATATCTGGAGTTGTGACCTCAACGGGGCGTCCTGAGCGAGGCCCATCAGAGGTGCTCACACGACCCTTTTTAAACTCGGAAACCCACTGCTTAACGGTTGAATATGACGGGGAGGATGTCCCCAGTGTTGAGTCCATCTCTTTTTTAATTTCCTTCGGCGTTAACCCCTTCAAATAAAAGTATTTGATGACAGCACGATTTTCCTGCTTTTCCATTTTTACGAAAACCACAGAGGCGTCTTGTTCAGCGTGCTGTCAAACCTACACTAGCAAGGAGATCGGGCTGAAACTATAGCTACAAGCTATCCAAGGATGGTACTATAGAATTCACCTCAAGGTAGGCCTAGTGGCGTCATCTCTTGGTTAGGCCGGAAACTTATCAATCCACCCTCGTATATGAGATGAATAAAAAAATAACCGTGACCCTGACTACTCAGAATCTATGACGTATGAATGTAAACATGACAAATTATTATTCGTGTTGGCATTGGTCCTTTCCTCCACTCTATTATTTTCAAAAACCACTAGATACCTATAAATTCGGAAGACTCCGTACCATCGAATCATAGTGTGCTTTGAAACCGAAAGAAGAAAACAAGTTTCTAAAAAAAAAAATCAAAAATGAAAAGTTTTGCAATTGTTACGCTTTTGGCCGTTGCCATGGCAGTGGTTTATGCCGCTCCCGATGGCGTTAAGTTCACCACCAAGTACGACAACATTGACCTGGATGAAATTCTCCAAAACGAGAGACTTTTCAACAACTACTTCAAGTGTCTAACCGGCGAGGGAAAATGCACCCCTGACGGCGAAGAACTCAAAAGTAAGTACGCCTTTAGTTTTTCATTAAAAATATTATAATAAATTGTTAATAATAAATATACACATGCATATGTAATGCATATCCTTCAAAGAACTCCTGCATTTCAAAATTTTCCTTTCCATTTTCCGACTGAACTGAAATTTCGAAGTGGATGACAAGAAAAATAATTAATTCTGACTAAAAACTTACTGCAATTCTGTTTGTAATACGTAGAATTTCGATTGCCTTAAATGACCACAGTGAAATTAAAATAAATCAACAAAGAAGTTCACATTTGAATCTCAGAATATAAAAGAACGATCAATAATTATATGTCATATTTAACTTAATAAACTTGTATATTTTGTTATTCCTATATTCGTCGATTAATTTTGAATGTATTGATGATTTTTCTTATTGCATAGAGGACATTCCTGAGGCCTTAAAGAACAAGTGTGGAGGATGCAGCGAAAAGCAGAGGGAAGGTGCAAAGAAAGTTGTCCAATTCCTTGTGAAGAACAAACCAGAACAATTCAAGAAACTCGAACAATTGTACGATCCCGAAGGTAACTACAGACGTGATAACAAGGAACTGTTGGAAAAAGAAGGCATTCATTTGTAAATAATTTAGTATTATTATGCCCGCCGCAAGGATTATGTTGATTCTGATTTTTATTGTTGAGCTCTTGTCTTACTGTTCTAATATAGGCAATCAATAAATTTTATTTCATATACAAGTAATTTTGATTTAACTGGAACAATCCTTCATCTTCCTTGGCATCCCAATTAAATTAAAAATGATATTTAAGTAAAATTCTGTGTCTCCAGAATTAATTTCTTTTGAGCTTAATGCTTCTCTGATCCTGTATACGTAAAAGAGAAACTAAACTTAATTTTAGTTAAATAATTACGTATAGAAATCCGTTAGCAAAGGAAAGGTGTAAACAAAAAGGAACTTAAAAGCATGCTAACAAATTGTATAAATACAATAAGACAGTGCAAATAATTGATGTATATATGTACTACAGTTCACTTTAAGAAAAGTGAATACTTTTAATGATATCGTTTCTCATTTAAATTTGATGAGTTGTAGTAGAAAATAAGATAATTAACATTTAATTTGTTAAAAACTAGCACCCGTCATTTAAGTTGTGATTGCATTTTTGACGTCAACTTAATTATTCTTGCGATCACAATATGCTAATTTTTCTTTTTTTTTGTACACTTTTTATACTCATTACATTGTTGGTAATTATATGCTGCAGATGCTTTTTTTTAACGACATTAGATTGTTGATGATATTACAGCGATTAATTTTAATAAGGACAACTCCAACTTTCTCCCGATCTATGTCCACAAATATTGTGAAGAACCATTACAAAAGTGACCAAAACTATTAAAAAAAATAAAATAAGAATGTGATAATTGCTTCAACGTAATGATTGTCTCAGAAATAGTGGTTAAAGAAAGACATAATTGTCTATGCATATAACAAGAAAGAACATCAGTGTGTTAAATAATTATGTAAATTGTTTGATGAACATTCAATATGTGGTTATTCGTTTTGAAATTGAGTTGAAGAACTATTAAACTTTTGATTTTAAACTGGAAAGATGTTTCGCTACGAATAGATGGTCAATACTGATAAACATGTACTAAATGTGCATCATTATTGAATCAATATTTAAAAACTTCATTAGAAATGTTACAATTAGTTGTACAAAGGAACTTTAATCGTACAATACAAGGATATTAGTGAATAATAATTAAGTATTTCTAATTTGGCATAGTTCCATCTTGTTTGGCCAAAACCTTTTTATACGTAGGCAGACGTATGACAGAAATGAAAACCGTGAAAATCCTACAAGTCGTTTGCTAGAAAATTATTGTGCAAATTGCATTTCTTACATCGGAGTTAAAAATAGCAGATATTAATTAATTAAATCCTTGAATTCACAGTAGACATAAAAAACGTAATCAAACAATTTAAATAGGTCTAATTAAAACGGGTAGGTATAAGAGAAGAAAAGTAAATACAACTTATAAAGAGGAAATAAATGCAAATGGAATTGCAAGTTTTTTATAACCAAAATAAAAATATGTAATTTAAATATGCATTTTTAGCTTCCCGAACATTAAATTTAATGTACGACTCAACCTTTATAAAATAGAAGCCATTTGTATGCAAATCATTTCTAGGTTGTTTTATTGTTACAATTTCTTTAAGAGGTATCATTATCATCACCATTAAATCTACAAGCCTTCGCTGAAATAGTGTCTAGCTACTTTTATGGACTAGATGAGCCAGTTTTCGAACATTAAAATTGTAGACAGTTTATTTAAATTTAATTATTTTTAAAAAATGAACAAACTGGTTGATATAAAGGATCATTCTATTTTACTATGATTGAAAATCTTACAATACTGCTTTAACTAAATTAAAAGCATAGTTACTTCTTAAATGGGTAGCTATTAGAATGGCCAGTTTTAAAAACAAATATTGGATGTTTTCTCCATGGAAAACTAAATCTTTTCATCGACGTAAAAAAGCAAATATTTATCAACCTTACTGACCGTTTTCAACAAAATTACATGTATAATTAACAAATGAATTTAGCTAACAAAACCACTTGTACTTTTATAAAAATATTTAACCATTTTAAGTGTTTTCATCAACGATTTCGACCTTTCTGAAACCAAATCTTCCTATATGTATTATGAAATCTATGTTACCAATACATAACTTAGTAAACATGTTATTCAATAATTGTAAAGATGAGGTCAATTTTTCCTATTTACTATGAACACATTAGACACATCACAAAAGATGTAATACGCGGTTCATTAAAGAAGTTTTTCACCTAACACCCTACATATACATAACTAGGGGTGGTAATATTAAAATTGACTCATAATGCAGGTACTACTACAAAAATTAATTTGCTACTTTAGGCTACACGATTTTACGAATTTATTTTACCAAATTAATCAAGGGTTATTTGATTTGTTAGACACACCACATAAGATGTAATACGCGGTTCATTGAAAAAGTTTTTGAACTAACAACCCTACATATACATAACTAGGGGTGGTAAAATTAAAATTGATCCAAAATGCAGGCAGATTTTATTTAGTTTCTTCTTTTTTTTTTAAGGTGTCCTAATATGGGTCGAGCATGGCTACAAATTGGAGCTGCTGTGTTTTTCTTGATTACCATGAGAATTTGTTGTGCTGATAACGACATGTAAGTCAAAAACACTAAACACTTACCGAAAATCAAACGAAGATCGTTTTGTATATGGAAAAACAAATGCTGGACAGGTTACTTTAGGGTCGTATTGTGTTGTTTCATACGTTCTTTAAAAGAGCCATTCGTATGTCTGATATATATTCACAATTGTATTAGAAAAGGTATTTTCGTTCAGCAACATTTTAGTAGTATGCAGGTAATAGCTTAAGAAATCTGGCAAGCTAGATTAGTAGTAGCGTGTTGTGGAAAATCTAAAGGAAAAGGCTATTAAATTGGGGCTCTAATGTGTCAAAAGGTGCATTTTGATGGCGTGAAACACGAAGCACTGCCTTAAGACCCGCATTTATCATTTTTAGCCCTAAAAAACTGACAAAGTACGAACAAAAATAACTGTAATACAGGCTACTGTAGTAAAAAGATAATTAGAAGGTGAAAGATTGCAAGAAAATAAGTTTATTCAGAGTGCGAATTCTTTTGGTTTATATTATCGTACTTATGTATATTTGCAGCTAGCTATGTATGTATGTTTTATAGGAATTTTCCGTCTTCGAGATATCATAACAAAGTGAAAAGATGGGTGCAATGCTCCACCGCTGGAACTAGAAATCAGAGATCAAAAACGTACATAAGGTAACATTGGAAACTGACGATTAAAAAATTCGAAACTTTGCATCCATTGTTAATAATATTATTATTATTATTTAGAAAAGCAACTGCTTCTTTTTACTTATTAGCGCTTACAAAAGTAATTATTATTATTTTATTTTAATGGAACTCCATGGCTTCTTCGAAAGCAAAGAATTTTAATCTAATTGCAAAAGAAATAGTTTCGCTAGTACAAAAGATATACGCTTTTCAGTATCAGCATTTAGGAACACTTTATAATAATAAAAATATATTGTAAAAGTGAATTAAATGTAGAAAAAGTGCTTCATCTGGCTTGTCAACTTATTTTAGGCAAAATTTAGACTATACTACGCTTCTGTAATATACTAGTATATTAAAATGCGTTATATTGATAGAATGAGACATTAGATAATACATATTTGTAATACATATTTAACAGATGTATTAATATGTACTGTTATCTATTTTATTTTATTCATGAAAAAGTCACACGCTTGTTTTTGGCAAGACCCTCATGTTATGTATAGTTTAATAACACGATCTCGTAAATATAATACAAAAAATGTACTTTGTGCTTGGGTGTTAATAAA